GGTGGGGTCTTGCCCTCCACCTACTCCATCAGAAATTTGTGGGTGGGGCCCAGCAATCTGAGTTTTAATAAGTACCCCCCCCCCCCCGCCCCGCGCCGACCAGTGATTTTGGTGCATCAGCGTGGAAAGAAGTGAAACCCGGACTGGGATGGGCAATTATGTCCAGTCCTGGCTCTCCGCTGGACTTCAACCTGCGAGGCTTTGAGTGACTTTTGTTTTGTCCTGTTCGCCTTTTCAGTGGTCCCTGGAGCCAGGAAGTAGCCAGTTTGTATACCCCTCTTTGGGGGAGACAAAACCGATGCAAGGACTGCCCCCAGAAAGTTCCACTACGTTTATACTTACTGCGGGCCTCGGAAGACCCCGACTTTTCACAGATATTTTATTTATTGACCCTGCCTCAGAGACGTTACACAAGCAGCCCAAGGCCACACAGCGGGTGACGAAGGCAGCAGAGCCCAGGCGCTGACCTCGCCTCTCTGGACCTTACCGCCCCCTCCGGACAAGCTGGGACTGGAACCGGCTCCTATGGCGCCGGCCTGGCCCTCCCTTGAGGAATCAGAGCCCCAGGAGTAGTCGCCCCCCTAGGTTCAGGAGCAAGGAAGTTAACTCCCGGCGTCGAAGTCAGCCGGGTCAGCTCTCCCGCGAGTGCCGGATCCTCCTCCCTCAAACTGGGGGGGTGGGGGTGGGGGCGGGGGTGGGAGGGCGAACCCTAGCCGGCTCAGGCCTGGTCCGCGCCCCCTAGTCTGGAGCCCTCCCTCCCCTCCCCGTCCCTGCCCCTGCCCGGGGGCTCCTCTGGGCCGCCAGCGCTGACTCAGCGTAAACCGAGCTGCAAAGGGCGGCGGGGCCAGACGCGCCCGCCCCGGGCTCCAGTGCTACGCTTTGATTGCCCCGTCCCTCTCCCCCGCCCTCCAGCCTCCCTGCTCCGCCCCCGGGGAGAGGTCCGGACCCAAAGCAGCGGCGGCCGCGGAGCGGCTGGAGGGCGCGAGGAGGAGCGCGCGACCGAGTCCGGCGCAGCATGACTGCCATCGCCGTGCAGGTAACCCCGGGGACCTGGCGGGGCGCTGAGCCGGCTGCCCCCGAGCGCCCCGGGGCTCTGCCCCACCGGGAGGCCGGAGGGGACTTTGCGCAGAGCACCAGACGCAGCCGCGCGGGAGGACGGGGGTGCCGGGAGTGCCGCGTAGTGCCAGCGCTCTGTTGCGAGCTTGCGGGGCTCCGAGGAAGGTGGGCCGGAAGCAACCTGGGGCCCCCGCCCTGCCCCCACTTCATGCCCCCAGCCCAGTGCTACTCCTGCGCGAGGTCTCCTGCGGTCCCGCAAGCCCCCGTGGCTCCCAAGCTTCTTGGAGTGGATTTTTCTGCTTCTCTTTGGGGTCACCAGTAACCGTGGTGAGGCTCACCAGAGCCTTTTTAAGAGGGAGGGGTGCGTCTGGGGTGGAGGAATGGGCACAGTCCGCTTGCAAAGTGAGGCAAGTCTTATGTAACGTGAGGCTGCGTCTCCGGAGAAGCGGGAACTTTCTTGGGCAGGGGCTAGAAAGCCCACCTCCCAGACGCGTCTCGGGTGCTGGCGCGGGGACGCACTCTCTGGTGCGCGCGGATACTTTATTAATAGAGAAGGCTGTAGCGAGGGGAGGAACTCGCATCCCCGAAGGTTTGATTTCTCAGGCTGATGAAAGGTGGTTTTGTTGGCTGAGAACCTACCCGTTCCTGCCCCCTTCCTCGGGCGCGCTGCTGTCCAAAGGCAACTCAGTGGCGGGACCTAGGCTACCCTGAGAGCGAACTTCTCCGCCGAGGCATTTCACCAGCTCGCTCAGTCCCGAGTCTTCAGGCGAGTCTTCAGGCGGGACCATCCTAACGATGGGAGAGGCTCGTTGACTTTGCATGCAGATGCGCAAAGCCCCGCACCCCAACACTGACTCTGGTAGATGCTGTTCTGCCCAGTTTATAGACAAAATAACTGAGGCTCAGAGGTGAAGTAGCCAGCCCACTGCAGCCGGCTAAGCGACATAATCGAGATTCAAAGCAGGAATTCTTGGCTCCGAATCCTACTTGCCCTTTCTGCTTTTTACTAGCAGGAGAAACCCTACCCACCAGTCACCCCCCGCCCCCAAACCCCATCTAGCCAGGACACAGCAGCCTGTGTCCTGGTGAGAGAGAGCAAGTGCTTCCTCTTTGTTCTGGATCAGAACCTTGAGTCTTCAGGGGGGAGCGTCTGGGACAGGCGCTGGGGAGAAGGGGACCCGCAGCGAAGGTTGGGACTGGGTGTGGTTTCTTCCCTCCCGTAGCCCCGCGGTCCACTGCGGACAGAGACTTGTAAACAAGGATTTAGAAGACCTGTGAGGAAGTGAGTGCTAAATTAAGAGGTGCAGAATGGGCTCGCTGGATTAACAGGGTGGGGCTTTGTGTGCTGGGCCCCGAGGGGCCAGAAGACTGGTAGCCGCTGAGGGACCTCGTTAGTGCGTGGAGAGACAGGGAGGGCTATGGGTAGGGTGTCGCGCAGCACAGGCTGCCCTGCAGGGTGGGCGCACTGGGCGCTGTCCCTTGCAGACGCTGACTGTGGCTGCTCTTTTCCGAGCCCCTTAAAGCTGTGCCAGGGGCTGTTTTTAGCTCTTGCGATAATTTCTTCCTGCCCTACCCAGAGGAATACCGCTGTATCTTCCTTTATGGTAAGAAAACCCCCGAGAGAGGGAATGCATGCATGCCAGAGCACAGACAGCAAAAAGCAGGCTCAATGGGGCTGTGTAGGCCAAGTCTTTAGGAAGCTGGCTAAGAAATTTCTGGTTAATAATGGTGGGGGCTTGACCTGGGCCTGTACAGAGTGGGCGTGTAAGGGGGTGGGGGGAGAGGTTGTTGAGGATGTGAGCAGGGCCTCTGGGGTTGAGGGGAGCTGGTGGGGTCCTGGGGTATAGAGAGGAAAAGAAGACCTTGCCATTGGACTCGGTGGTGCAGGAATATCGAGTGACCCTGTCCTGAACATAGAATCATTCGGGTTTAGAGATGGAAAAGAGAAACACATTTTTTCGCAGAGGAAAAGAGATTTAAGTGCCTTGGCCAAGGTCCCACAGCTGGAGGTCAGCAGAGCAGGGGCAGCTCTAGACAGCCTTGATTTCCTCTCGTCCATTGGCCCTCAGCTGAGCACACTGCTGCGAGCTGCCCTCCGGGAGGAGCTTTCAGGCCCTGGGTCACTGCAAGTCTGAAGAGCTGCGTGTGGGGCAGGACGGAATGAAAACTCCAATATGCATTCTTCTTGTTGCTCGTATTATCAGAGGTCCCCAAGTACCTTTACGTACGTGATCTCATTTAATCCTTGGGAGTTTTCTTGGTGATCAGAGAGTTTACAAGAAGGCCTGCACTGAGGTGGGAGGGGAAAGAGATGAAATGACCTGAGCTGTTTTCTCTTTGATCCCAGTGTGGTGTCTGAAGGGTTGGAGACTAAAGTCCAGTCTGTGCCCAAGGCAGGTGGGGCTGAGCGGGGTACAGAACATACCTGTTCTCTGGGTCCTGGGATCTGTGTTTCGTGACTTGATTGGGGTCTTGCATCTGGGGCTTTCCCATCTCCCGACCTTACCAATCGACTTTCTAGGGGCCTCTCCTAACCCAGCCAGGTAACTTCCTGGCACTTGGTCTCCTGCGGGGGTCGCCAACTCCATTTTGTAGATGAGACACCCGAGGGCCAGAGAGGCTCAGAGAAACACTATGGACAAACCCAAGAACAAACACCTTTAATGATTTGTAGACACAGAAGTTTCAACATTTCCTTAGTCTGTTTCTTAGCAGAAAAGCCGTTTAGTTTGGTTTTGTTGTTGTTGTTGTTGTTGTTTTCTGATGAAATCCAGCACAGACTCCTAGGCTCCCAGTGTCTCCAACAGATAAGAAGGGCCTGTTGTGGTTGAAGTAGGGAAGCAGGCCTAGCTGGCCCACTCAGCGTCCTCTGCCCCCGTATCAGCCCCCTGGAAGGCGCTTAGGAAGCAAGGGGTCCGCATTTGAGAACCACAGCCGACTCCACTGGAGTGTTCTTTATAACATCCCAGGCTGCCTTTGTCTGGGGGTGTGAGTTGGGCCCCTGACCCTGCTTTGGGCATCCCTCTGCACTGTCTACTCCTCTTCCTCACCAGTTGTACTGAGCCCCTAACACAAAGGCCCCCATCACTGTGTGTTGGGTCACTATGGGTTGGCCGGACGCATCCCATGCCCTGTACAATATACAGTTTTGCAGGCAGCCGTAACGGTTTTTTTTACTGTGATTTAGGTGAGTGATGTTGGGGAGGTCATCTGATCTCTGCGTGACATAGTTTCCCTCCTTACACACCCCCGGTGGAGCTCCCTACTCAACCAGTCTCACAGGTTTGAGTAAAATAGGGCCCTGCTTTGGTAGAAGTGATGAAAGCAAACCAAGTCCTTATTCTTTTATCCCTCGGGCTGAAATTTAGCAGTGACTCTTGCTCGGGTGGGCAGGTTAGCCACCGACCTGATGTTCCTGCTGGGGCTGGGACAGCAAGAGTCTCCTTGGAGCATGGCTTTGCTTTCTGTTACCACCGATTGCTTCTGGAAGCCTCCATTCACACATGGTATAGGGAGCACACTGTACGTAGTCCCTGTCCGGTTTCCCCACGCATGACTCCCCGCTTTGCTTGCCTCCCAGACTGGGCTGTCGCCTGGGTTGCTTCCATATATGCTGTAAAGGGGGGTAACTTATGACTGGGCAGGAGACTCATTGAGAGGGAGCTTCAGATGGCAGAGACAGTGGTGGCGATGACTGTTCATTCATCCTGAGGCTCCACTCAAACGCTCACTGAATGCCCAGGTCAGGCTCTGCGCCATGGACCAGGGATGCCTAACTGGGGGGGCCCTACCCTCTTGGAGAGCACAGTGTTTGCATGCAACAGGCAATATATAATCAGTACAAGTCAGAAGGGAGTGGATGACTGGTGGTCAGAACAGTGAAGAAGACAGAGCCCCTGACAGGAAGAGACCTGGTTTGGGTGGGGTTGGGGAGGCAGGAAAGCTCTCTGTGAGGAAGGCACATTTCCACAGAGACGCGAAGACTGGAGAAAAGGAAGTAGCCTGGAGAAGAACCTTTTAGGTGGAGGGGCCAGTAGGTCTGAGGAACAAAGTTCTAGGCTTTGTCTTTCGGTCTGGGTCTTTGGGTCTGTCTTTGGGTCTGCTACGTCTGAGCAAAGGGGCCAGGAAGAGTGTGCTGGGGGGAGAAGTGGGAGAGGGAGGCAGGGCAGAAGGAGCAGGGCTTGTGGGCAGTGGTAAGGAGTTTGACTCTTTGCAGTATTTTTCTTCTTTTGCTTTCTGGTTGGGGATGGAACCCATACCTGGTGGTGTCCCAGGGCTGTGAGATAAGGGACACCTCACTGGATGCCTGGCCCAGTTTGCCAGAAGGGAGGGACAGGTGCACCCTTCAGGGCTGGAAAGAGCCTCAGCGGCCTCTCCACGCCAAGAAGCTACTAGACAGACATACTGATTGACAAACTCTGGGTGGGGTTCAGGTTCAGGCTGGACAAGACCGAAGGGCAAAGTGCAAACATCATTTTCAGTACTGAGGAAAACAAGGTAATAACATGGAGTCTGGTACGTGCAGAACCAGCTGGGTGGAGATTAGGGTAAAACTGAAGTGTACTGGGAAGTCCTGGGAGAGGGGGAATGTAGCTTGTATTAGCATGCTAACTAAAAAAAATACTAATAATCCGGTGCTCAGATTCTTGCTTTGTGTACAAAGAAACCCAGGGGGTACTGCAAATTCAAGGTCACACTAGCCTGGCCTGACAAATTTACTGAATTCAGAACTGACTAGGATCTGCCAACCTGCTAGTCAATGGAATTTGGGTCTCTTATTTGTGGAGATCATTAAAGAAAGGTCAGGGAACTTTTCATGCCTGATGAATAGTTGGGACATTCGGTGCTTCTAGGTCTTGAATGGAGGACAGGGAGCAGGTGGAATGGGGGAAAGGCTCCCTAAAGAGGTGGGTCTGTGCTGAAAGGTAAGGAGGAGGGTGGACAGAAGCTACTTGCAAAGGTTGGCATTCTGGGCCTTGAAGGCGACTACAGCAGAAATTAAGGCTTTGGGAAGCTGGGGGCATGGACAAGGGTTTTTCCTGAAGAGGTTGGAGGGGTGGAGCAGGGCCCTCTCCCTGACATGCCCTCCCCCTGACATGCCCTCTGTGATGTCTTCCAGGCCCAGAGGCTGCTGGCCCAGAGGAGGCCCCGGCGGCCCTTCTTGGAATCCTTCATCCGGGCCCTCATCATTGTCTGCACTGCCCTGGCCTTGGTCCTCTCCTCCGTCTCCATCTGCGATGGCCACTGGCTGCTGGATGGAGACCGCCTCTTCGGGCTCTGGCACTTCTGCACTTCCTCCAACCAGACGGGGACACATTGTCTCAGAGACCTGAGTCAGGCGCATGTGCCTGGGCTGGCCGTGGGCATGGTCCTGGCCCGCAGTGTGGGCGCCTTGGCCGTGGTGGCTGCCATTTTGGGCCTAGAGCTCCTCATAGTGTCCCAGGTGTGTGAAGACCTCCACTCACGGCGCAAGTGGGCCATGGGCTCTGTCGTCCTCCTCATTTCCTTCATCCTCTCCTCCGGGGGCCTCCTGAGTTTCGTGATTCTCCTCTGGAACCATGTCACACTCACTGGCTTCACCCTGATGTTCTGGTGCGAGTTCACGGCCTCCTTCCTCTTCTTTCTGAATGCCATCAGTGGCCTGCACTTAAGCAGCATCACCCACCCCTGGGGCCAACCAAGGAAATTTTAGGCCCCCCTCCTAAATCTGAGGACTTTGGTTTCTGCAAGAAAGTATGGTCAAGATGGGACTTTTCCAACATGAGACCTCTGGTGGGGGTGAGGGGGAGGGGTGGGAGGGGGAGGGGGAGGGGTGGGAGGGTGGGGCAATAACCTTGAAACTGCTGTCTCTCAGCCAATAACCTTTCGGGTGGTTGGCCAGAATCAGCCCAGCGGCCTTTGCAGCTGGCCTACGGGGCCAGAGGCCAGGACCGTGCTTCAGTGCCCCCAACTGCCTGGGCTTAGCCAAGTTAGTAGGATGTTGGTTTTAGAAGAAGTAACACGTTTTAAAAAACCCTTTTCTTGAATCCTTCTTCCCAGGATGGGAATAGATTTGCAAGCATCATGGGAACTGGTACCTGGGCTGGCTGCAGAGCTAAGTGCGGCCCCCACTTGTTTCGTTGACTCTGTGCCGGGATACGGGCTCTGGGGTCTCCTGGGGTTGCCCAGAGTGGATCATTCCTCCAGCGAAGCGTATCTAGGCAGTGCCTCAGACTTTTCTTCCACCAGCTCAAAGGGCCTTATGGGCACATTTCCCTGCTGTAGCTTCGGTCATGGCAGGGATGCAGAATTCAGGATTCCCTCGATTTCTTGCATATGCTGGGTTTTCAAACCATTTGATGTGATTTGAACCCTGCCCTTCTGGTGGGGGGGGCGGGGGGTGCATAATCCTTGAACAACTGGAGCTTCCAGCAGCCAGCTATCCCGTCTGGGAATCCTGCCCGAACCCTTCAGCAAGCTTCCCAGGACGGCCCTCTAGCTTTCCAATACTTCCATAGCCTCCTCCCGAGGCAAGGGTATGTGCGTGTCTGGCTTTGATAAGGGCCAAGACGGCATCGGGTACCATTTTTGATTGCAGAGCACATTTCCAAAGAGCACATATCTGGGCCTGCTGAACTCCAGGGGGGTCAAGGGGCCTTGGCAGGCCTTGAGTAATGATTAACAGCCGTCCTGGGGATGAGCGAGGGTGAAGGGGACCAGGGACCAGTGGAGATTTCCATCCTTGCCCTCAGATGTGCATTTCTGGGTAACCAGTTGCCCCCTTTCCAGTGTCTTTTTTCTGTCCCCGGAGCTGGGGTTTCTGCCTTCAGCCATTTCATTCCACACTAGTGCCTTCCTCCTGCACCGGATCTGCTCTGGCGGCTGCTCCTACCATGGATTTTTGGTCTCTGCCCCGCCTTGGTCACTGCAGGTCCCCTTCCTGGGCTGGTGCTCCTGTCTGTCTCTTGGGGGTTTTTAAAAAACTTTGATTCCTAAGTGTATATGGAGTCCATGGAGATCACTGTAGAAAGGCGTCATGGGCCAACCTGTTTTTCAGAGAGCGGAACTCATCAACCAGATGGGCTGGGTTCTCTGCCCTGGGAAATAAGCACCTGACTTTTCCTTCCAGGAGTGTTCACCAAGCGCAAAGGGGTGAGCTTCTTGTCTCTGTGGTGGGGAGGTGCAGAGGTGGGAAGCCAAGGCCCTAAGTGGGACAGCACTTGTCCACAATCACCTGCCAGCAAGATGCCTTCTCTGTGTTGAGGCTTCTGTCCAGAATGCTTTCCCCACCGAACACTGGGAGGCTTTGTTTTATAAAAGGGTTCAAATGTTCAGTTCACTTTCATCCTTAACATGGTGGGGAGGGAGTTCTCACAGTCAAAAGAACTGAGATCCAGAGAGTAAAGGGGAGACAGATTTCCATAAGACAGGGAGACAGGCCCCTGTCCCCCGCCCAGGAGTGAAGAGACAGATGGAGCCTCGGAGCAGGGATTTGAAACCAAAGGCGCTGGACTGAACTGCAGCCCCTTCTTGCTGAGTATCTCAGGCAAGTCATGGGACCTTGGTGAACCTGTTTCTCTTTTCTGTCCCATGGAATCATGTCCCATTCCCAGCTCTTCTGCCCCCAGGGCTGTAGATAACTGCAAGCAGGAGGAGGAGAGGGGTGCCTTGTACCATGCTAGGGTTACTAAGGAAGCTGGGGGTCTTGGGGCTCTCTTGGCCTCGCTGACTTGGTCAGGTGAATTTAGTTGTCTTGAGGTTGTAAGGTCCAAGCTACTAGACAGGTGAGTTGTAGGGAGGGTCCACCTAGGGCCAAGGGTCTTCCATTTCTCCTGTTTCCTGCCCTTCAAACTTACCCTGGAAACTCCAGTAAGGAGTAGGGAAGTGAGTGGGAGTGTCATCCTTCACTTTTTGTCTCAAGGGCCAAAAGAGTGGGCAGTTAACAGACCAAACCTGTCCCAGCTACCATTTATCTCCCTGTCTTCTTCTGGAGCCCCTGACTCGGGCCCTCTTCCTGCCCCATGTGTCCTCATTCCTTTCAGTTCTAAGGAACCTTATCAGCAGAGCTCCCTCCCCATCCCAAGGCTCAGGGGAGGCGGATGGTTGGTCACAGGAGAAAGCAGGTGATGTCTGCTGAGAAGATGGGTCCGGGACTGTCCCGCAGCAGTGTCTGGCCTCCTCTTGACCTGCCTTGGCGTCTGTCCCGTGGATGGCCCTGCTCCAGACTCTCAGATGACACTGTTCCTGCAGGTGGCCCGGCTCTGCTCTGAGGTGCTGGCCTTGGTGCTGTGGGCAAGGCCGCTGGAGCCGTTGCTGAAGGAGGAGCTGAGGGCCATGGGGCGCAGTAGGGACTCACGAAGGTGCCACTGGCGCCACTTTTTCTGAACCTCCAGCTGCACCTGCCCCAGAGACCAGACGTCAGCCATGGAGATAGGCACCCAGGTCCTTGGGACGGGCCCTGCCTCTCCTGCCCAGGGGGTCCTGCCTTCCCCTCTCCAACAGGCCACTCAGATGGGCCGTTTCCAGCTTCAATGTCCAGTAGGGATCAAGGGCCCCCTCTCGTCTGGACACTTCCCCCACCTGTCACCTTACAGCGTGTGTCCCGACGAAGGGGCTTTGGGGTGGTCTCACAAATTCCAGCACTCCCAAAGTCCAGATCATCATCCAGGATAATGGGACCCATTCTCATACAGCCACCCTAGCTCAGACATTATCTGGGGACCCTGGAGTTGCTCTCTGGAACTGTCCTTCACAGTCCCCAGCTGTAACAACCCAAACCTTTGAAGCCAGGCTTCAGGCTAGACTTTTTGGAAAACAAGATGTTCTTCCCATTCAAGTGTGGCGAACCAGATAAATGGTCAGCTGTTACAGGAAAGCCTGCCTTGGGTGAGGCACTATTTGACTTATGTGGTTTACATGGCTTGTGTGTGTCCCCACCCAACCGAAATGCTCTGGGTAGGGGCAGAGACCTCAAGGTTAAGTGTGCAGCCCTCTCAGGGAGTCAACACTCCTGTGAGGTTCAGTGAGCAACTGAGTGTCAGAGATGGTATTATTGAGTCTCTCATTTAACAGATGGGCAGACTGAGGCCCAGAGAAGGACAGTGAGCAGGATCCCCCATCAGGCAAGCAGCAGAGCAGTCAGGAGCCTGGGTTTTGGTTGGGGTGCCTGCACTTGTCTCTAGTTCATGGACTTGCTCAAGGATAAGAATCGCCTTGTTAAACGTTAAATGCTTGTTAAACATTTTCAGGCTCCAACCCAGACATACAGAATCCTTCTTTTGCAGAATTGGAAATAGGGGCAGGGTGGGGAGGAGTAGGGCCCAGCAATTGTTTTAACGGGGCCTCCTGGTGCTTCAGGGCTCCTAGGAAGTGAGCTCCAGAGACCCAGGCCTCCTCCAGCCACACATCCATCTCTCCCCACCACCCCTTCCAGGGAGCTTCTGAGCAGGAATCCCATGGCTAGGGAGCTCCTCCTTCCAGGCAGCCGAGCTCACTCACCTCCCCGTTGAGGAAACAGTAGAGGACTGCCACCACCAGGCCCTGGAGAGGGGTCAGAGGCAGCGGGGGGTCAGGGCAGGCCCTCCAGCACCCGGCCTCCTCCCTCCAACCTCCTCCCCATGTCCTTCAGTTGCCAGCCCCAGGCTCGCTTCCAGCACTCCAGAACCTTCCCACACGTCTCACCGCCGGTGGGGGTGGTGGTGGGGGGTTGCTGGGACTACCTCTTCTGGGGTCGCCATGGTGCCCCTGGCTGTGCTGGCTTTATCGGGCTCAGCTCCTTGGGGTGGGGCTTGGGTCCAGCCTGGCAGCCTCGTGCATGGGGGATTTCAGAGGAGAAGCTGCTAACTTGGGCCCATGGGGACTGGGCAAGTCACCTGAATTAGTAAGGTGGGTCATCTGGGAGAAGCAGGGAGAGGCAGCCCCTGATGTGCACCTGTCCCTCAGGTAGGGGGTGGGGCCAGCCCATGGGACATCCTGTGCCCCCTGTGGGTGGGCTCACTTTCCAGATAAGCTGGAAGTCGGGACACAGGCAACAGTTCAGACTGAAACATGGATGTGTGAGCGTGATGTCGGGACCAAGCCCGAGTGTAGATTCTGGCCAGTGAGGAGTGGGCTGTGACTTCTCTGCTTACATCACCTTGGCTAGGGGCCCTGAGGCTGTATACACTTTACGGGTAGGGGTCAGTGCCTGTTAGGACCCTCCCTCCCTCGTACCTGGAGCTCCTGTTTTCCCAGGAGTGCCTTCCCCTGTCCCCTAGTCCTGGCATGGAGCTCTGCTAGGGCAGGGACTCCAGTCTTGAGATGCAGGATTGGAGGCCCAGAGGCCTGCTGGGGACCATAGCCATGGGCAGGGTCTCTGCAGTGCTGGTCCTGCTCGCCTCCTCAGGGACCCTCCTCCAACCCCCCTGCCCTTCCTTCTGCCCTGAGGGTTCCCCAGCTGGTGAGCACCCCTCCACTCAGAAGCCTGGGTGGCCTAGCTCTGACCTCAGGAGGCCCTAACACCCCCTTCCGAGTCCCATCCAGGCCCTGAGTCCAAATGTCTGGGGATGATGTAAGTACACCAGCTTTGGAAACTCCTAGATGGTTCTAATGGGCATTCCCAGATGGAAACCACTGTCTGGAGGGTGTGAAAGGCTTTGAGAGGCGGCCTGGCCTGCATACTTGGGGGGTTCTGGGTTCCAGGTGCTTCATTTAATCCTTTGCCAAAGTCCTAACAGGGAAGATCCCTGTCTCATGCGCGAAGAAACTGAGTCACAGGGGTTTCAGCAGGACAGGTGCTGTATGTGCTCGGCCTAGAGCTGGTGGTCTGGCTGCTGGCTGCGGGGGCCACCCCTCTCACCAGGCCCAGCAGTACCTGGGCCTCCGAGGTCCTGGGACACGTTTGCACAGTTCAGGTGAGGGTAGGAGCCTCAAGGGAGGGAAAGTTAGTTGTGCTCCAAGTATCCATAGGCCAGCAAGTTTAAGAAATTCCAGTTTTTATACAATTGTTAAAAAAATGAAGTCTTGAGAGAACTTTAATGACATGGAGAAATGTTCACAACAGGTAAGACAGAATTAGAACAAGCAAGACAGAAAAAACCACACACAGCGCAGCCTCAGTTAAATGGGCTGTGTCCTTGTGTGTGTGTCTTCCTGGGTAGGAAAGAGACTTAGAGCTTAGACATGAACCCACCATTACTTTAACTGGTTATTTCTGGGGTCATGAGATTACAGATGATTTTTTCTTACCTTTTTAAACTATTCCTTATTTTTCAGATTTTCTACAGTAAGTATTTCTACAGTCAGAAAAAGGAGATCAACTTTCTGGAAGTTTCTGGAAGCCTGTGACAGTGATAATATATGGTGGTTCTGTGTGTGTTGTTCTTTAAGCCCCTGTCTTCTAGAGATGCATATTAGAATATTTACATTTGAGTAAAACCATCCCTTTGATGTGCTTAAAATGATGGGGGATGGTATGAAGGGAGCAGATGGAGACAGAGATGGAACCAGCCAGGCCTGGAGTAGGCAGTGGTCCCATGGGGTTCACGACTACTCTCTTTCCTTTAATATATGGGAAACATTTTCTATAATACAGGATTTTAAATATAAATAAAATATATATTATAAATATTTTATATATTATATAATATATATTTTTATTTTATATATTATATACATATATTTTACAAATATAATTATAAAATATATATTTTAAAAATATATAAGATATATAAAAATAAAAATATAAAATATTCATGTATAATATATAATAAAGTGGTATATATGTTTGTATGTGAACAAAGGTTAAAAAATGTCAAAGATCCGTTTCCTGTGTAAACATTTCTATGGGAATATTGGAAAAGCACTTTTGGTTTTCTCTTGACAAATCATTTCCTTAGAAGCCAAATGGCTTTCACTGGCAGGCATGGGCCCCAACCACCAGCCCCAACTCCAGGGGACAAGAAGTGCCCTTTCTATGTGGGGAGGCAGACCTGAGTCTCCGTGCTCTCAGTGAGGTTACTACCCATTTCTGGAAGCCAGGTCGAGGTCTTCCATTCCTGTGGACCTGGAACCCCCACCCCTGCTAAATGGGCCATTGTGTGAGCCCAGCCTCACCACATGGTACAGGAGCAGGTGGGCCTGAAAGCTCCCTGGTCCAGAAACAAAGATTACACAAGAGGCTGGGTTCTCTGGAGGCCTGAAGCCCTGGCAGGGAGTGCTGTGCACAGGAGACGCCCAGTGAGGGCAGAGGGGACAGCCTGGAGTGGGGTCTGAAGGCAGGGTTAGGACAAGACTGGACTCCACTCAAGAATGTGCTCCCAGTGATGGGTCCTTTCTGGAACCTGAAAGCGACAGGAGGGTGACCCTGACCGGACCCCCTGACCCTGAACCGAACTCAGGGACTGAGGGAGACTCTGAGCCCCATTCCTGAGACCAAAGCCTACCTCCTGAGGAGGACTTTGCAGGATAATCAGTGTTGTTGAGGACAGGCTGGTTTCTTGAGGAAAATCCCCCAGAGAGAAATTTCTCTCAGGGCCGAAAGCCTATCATATCTAGGCTTTCCCCAAGAATTAGCTGTTCCCATTTACAAATATTGTAAATCTTGGAATGGATTGCATTTCTGTCTTTGCTTTGGCTACTGGGAAGCTCCAAACCAAATGTATGACCCATCTCTCCTGCCTTAATAGTACTCTATTGAATTTGCTTCTCTGTCTGAACTCAATTTTGACTTTTATTTTTTCACTGATCCTTCATCTCTTTTTTTTTTTTTTTTTTGTCCTCTGTATGGTCTTCCTGAAAGCTACATCGTATTATCTTTGGAAGGAGATAGCTATGAGAGTGTAAACAAATAACATTGTGAAGTTTGGGATTCATGTGAAGACTCCTTCTGTCCAAACGTGTTTACTATTTTTGTGGTGGTGGTGGTTGTTTTTACTCTTTGTTTTTTGAAGCCTCACAACATCTTATTGAATCAGGAGGTCGGTGATTTCTGCCCTCACTCTCCTTTTTTTTAAAGTTGGTTTTCATCTTTGACACGTTGTGTGTGCGCATAGTTTCAGAGTCCAGTGATTCTCCTCAGGAAAGGAGAGCCACCTCGGAACAGCCCTGCCCCCATTTCCTGTGCCTCAGAGGCAGCTACGTGGAATCTTCGCTGCTTCTGAATAATATGCTGATGTCGCTCCTTCTGGATTTTTCAGTTTGGGGCCCTTTCACGGACTTCCCAGAATGAAGAGGAGGACCTTATTCTCTTTCAGATGCCCTCCCTCCCCCATTCCCACAATGCTCATCTTCCTGCCCTGCTTTTTGATGGCTCAGCCATAGCCCTCTGGTGATGTCATTTTGATTCCCTACACACCCTTTTTGTCTTCCCTGGAGTCAGTCTCTCTCTCCTTAGTTTTATCTCCCACCCCCTAGCTGACTGGTGGGAGACTTGGATCCCACTCGGGGTCCCACAGCACAGTGAGGTCCTGCCCACCTCCTCCTGCATGGGTGCCCAATGAGGCTGGACCCTTCTGGGGAGACCTGGCTTGCTGTCTCTATGGCTCCCGTTTCTCTCGAAAGAAAGAGAGAACTCCTGAGGGTCACAGTCCCCAAAGCTTACCTGGAACGAGCCAAGGGCCAATTCAAAGAACCACTGGACCTCGATGGCATCCTCCGGGGAGAAGGCAAAGACGATGTAGTGGACTCCGAAGAGGGGGATCAGCAGGAGGGTGGACTTGGCCAGGCGCCTGCAGACACAGACCTGCTGTGGTGTCCTGCCCCTCCCCATGGGCATAGCTCCCAGAGCCCCCACCTGCCCCACTGCAGAGGCCAGCAGTGGTGCCCCAAACCTTTGCGGTTTTATCTTTTATTCTGGAGAATTTCCAACCCCCACATACTCATCACCCAGGGCCAGCCCCCTACACTTTCTGATCACGCACCCCACCAGGAAAAAAAAATGTGAACACGTATCCACCCAAACAACTTTATTATTTGTAAATTACGTGCATGTGTCATTGAACCTATTATTCAAAAAACCAGCACTTTTTTTTTTTTTTTTTTTTTGGGATAATACATATCCATAAGGAGACGTTCTTTCATTTTCCTCCCAGATCCCAGATTAGGATTGCTAAATTTAGCAAAGAAAAATACAGGATGCCCAGTTCAATTTGAATTTCAGATAAACAACGGATAATATTTTTTGAGAAATATTTTGACAAACACCATTTGTTGTTTGTCCCAAATTCAAACTGAGCTGGGCTTCCTCTATTTTAGCCTGCAACTTAACTTGATCCTGGATGCCCAGCTCCACTGTACTGTGGAACCCACTGCCCTAAAGAGGTTCTGGAGAACCTGTCACCAGGCGGTCCAGGTCACTGCCAGATTCTCAAAGCTCAGAACATCACAGAGAAAGTCTTCACTGAACACCGACTGGCCTTTAACAGTTCTGAATTACGTCTCCCCCACCCAAATTCACCCACTGAAGCCCTAACTGCAAGACCTCAGGCTCCAGAACTCCGAGTAAGTAAATTTCTCTTCTTCATGCCATCCCGTGTGTCGTGGTTCTTTTGCTACGGGGCCCTACTGACCTAATACTGCATCTCCCTTTAACATCTTAAAGGTTTTAAAGTATTTTTGGATCACACATCTTGACAATCTGATGAAAGCTAGCACCTTTCTCCCCTGAAAAGCACACAGACCTGTACACATTTCTCTGATTTTGGGTCCCCGAAGCCCATCGTTAGACTCCCTAGCATTGCCCCAAACACAGATCTCTGCTCCCTAGGATCCTGAGAGATTTCTTACCTTCCGGCCACGGGGGCAGTGTCTAAGGCTTTCCCGTGGGACCCACTCCTCCCCACCCTCATTCCCAATTACATCATAACCTCCTTGGAACCAGGGCCAGTTTTGTAAACCATAGGCACTCGTAAATACCTGCTGATTGACTGAGCAGGCCTCCGACTTTGCCCTTCACTTACTTATAATGGTTCACTTCATTTCCTCTGGTTTCTTGGGTTCTAAGTTTTCTCATCAGGATTCTTAGAATGTTTATAAAAAGGATGAAGTTAATCTGTAAAACACAAGAGGGAGAAGGGGCTGAAGGTGATTGCCACCTCTCCTGGCCTTGACCCCTGGCCCTGGGGCCAGAGAAGTCATTGCAGACCACACCCGGGATTGCACATTGCTGAGACACTCCACCCTCCACCTGGCCCCAGAGAGTCCTGGGGGAACAGGCTGTCTGGAGGTGATGTCTGACCCAGTACCTGCACCTATCCCGGGCTGCAGGAGCTCTAAGGGCTGCTAAGCTGTGGCAGGGGTCATTCACACTGGAATGCATTGGCATCCTCCAGGGGTCTTGTAAAAACGCAGATCACCACTGACCTGGGAGTCTGCATTTCTTCTTCTTCTTCTTCCTTTTTTTTTTTTTTTTAAGATTTCATTTATTTATTTGCCAAACAGAGCACAAGCAGGTGGAGTGGCAGGCTGAGGGAGAGGGAGCAAGTCTTGCTGAGCAAGAAGCCCCATGTAGGACTTGACCTCAAGACCCTGGGATCATGACCTGAGTGGAAGGCAGACAGTTAACCAGCTGAGCCACCCAGGCATCCCAGAGTCTGCATTTCTATCAAGCTCCAGATAATGCAAAAGCTGGTCCTTGGCTACACTTCGAGTGACAAGGATTCCTTCCTGCAGAGGTTCTTAACGTTTTGGGTGCGGATTAGGGGGTTCCTTCCCCCAGAGGTTCCAGGTCAGTAAATCTGGGGTGGGGCCCCCAAATTTGCATTTTTAACAAGCTTCCAGGTGATGCTGAAGCTGCTGGTCTGGGGGACACACTTCGAGAACCACTGCTTCAAAGACTTATAGAGTCACTTTGCAGTTGAATCACCAACTCCAGGAAGCCACCCTTGATTATCTCTCCTTCCTGATACATGGCAGTTAGGGATCATGTTATTGGGTAAGCACGTGAAATATTTGAAAGAGGCCAAACCAAACGTAGGCATCTGTCAAACTTCTGTGTCTATTTATCTGCCAATTCTATCATAACTTACTAAAGGATAGGAATGCCGTCTCATTATTTCTTTTGGTGTCCCCTCCCCCAAGCCCAGTGCCAGGACTTTATAAAGGTGCTCACGTCCTCCTCTCTCACCCACCTACCAGCTCCAGCACCATTTAGGGAAATCAGGATCAGTGGAATCGCCCTGCCAGGTACCCTCATTGTTCCCACAACCAGTCTGGGGCCTGGGTACGCTGGCCCAAAGACAAGGATTAGTGGTCCGTCTAGGACTCCTAGCCCAGCCGCCTCTTGGGGAAAATTGCTTCTCAGCTTCTTGTTTGTTTATGTATCTTGCTCGGAGCTGGCTATGCATGGTATAAATGAATAAAGGTTATTTTAGTTTCATCTATTTTTCGGCCTTAGAATTACATTTAATTTTATAGGGAGCACCTGAGGGCAAAAGAAAAAAAATCTCAAGAGCTTAAAGTCCTAAATGGTGGAATTCTAGGCCCCATGAGCTACTGGTTGGGAGATGTTTTTAAGTTCTTATTTATTTAAGACATCACGACCCTAAGATCAAGAGTGCGTGCTCTTCCAATTCAGCCAGCGAGGGGCCCCTTTTTGGGAGATATTATGCATCAGGAGTGCCCCCAAACAGCACTAGAGAGATCACAGTCTGGTGAAATCCACCAAGACCCTGGGGGCCCATCGTCTCTCTGTTGGGCTTCCCCTGGGCTGGGCCTTCAGATCCCCAGAATGACAGCAAAGAAACTGGCCTAACTAAATAAGGAAAGACCCTGGGAATACTATGCAGCCAGAGCACATCGGTGGATCAGATCATTTCAAAGGCCATGGGACAGCTCACATCTACTACTAAGTGAGAAACACAAGCAAGTATACAAAACCATATTAGGCATTTTGAAAAAAAGGATATGTGCTCAAAAAAAAAAAAAAAAAAAGATAGGAAGGGGTGGAGCCTGGATGGCTCTGTGGGTTAAGCCTCTGCCTTCGGCTCAGGTCAAGCCCCGCACTGGGCTCTCTGTTCAGCGGGGAGCCTGCTTCCCCTCCCCCAACCCGCCCAGCCTGCCTCTCTGCCTACTTGTGATCTCTCTCTCTCTCTCTCTCTCTGTCAAATAAATAAATAAAATCTTAAAAAAAAAAAAAAGATAGGAAGTAAAAGCATATGTGTATTCCCAGTGTGTGTCTCGGTACTGAAAGTATGTGTGATTTTTTTTCCCCTTTTGGAAAACACATTTTGTATCTTCCAACTTTTTTTTTTTAAACATGCATTCTATTATTTAGGGGAAAAAAAGAAGAAGAAAATTAAAAACAAGGAGGTCCTGGAATGGCCCCCTTCTCCCACCCCCCACCCCCACCAAGGTCACCAACCAGCCACTGAAAGGTGGGGGCTGGGGCTGCTGCCCTGGGCTGCCCCCTCTCCCTCTCCAGGGAGCCCAGGAAGGGCACTTCCTGTCAAAGTTTTCTGCGGCCCAGGAGACAACCCTGGTAGGTCCCCCGCCCTCTGTCCTCCTATTTCCTGTCTGTACCCACAGGCTCAGCTCCAGGCCTCCGAACCCAGAGAACTCAACCCCCCCAACCCCCACTGGGCACACAGGCATTGAGCGTCTGCCTTGGGCTCCCTGCTCAGTGGGGAGTCTGCTTCTGCCTCTTCCCCTGCTTATGTGCTCTCTCTCTCTCTCTCTCTCTCTCACACACACACACACACACACTCTCTCTCTCTCTCTCTCTCTCTCTCTCTAATGAACAAAATCTTTAAAAAAATTAATTAATTAAACAAATAAACCCCAGGTGATTCTGAAGGGCAGCCCAAGGGAAAGACGCTCTGAGTTCCCCCTCCATGAGAGTCCTGTATCTTCTCCCTGAGGGCCACCCCTCCAGGACTGCAACCCCCACCAACAGCACCCCAAGCCTCACTGAGCTTTCCCCAGCCCCCAGCCTATGATCACAGCTCAGTGATTCTTCTCCGTTTAACAAGAGGAACATCTAGAAAAAAAGATCAGGACCCAAAGATCAGAACGGGGGATTTTCAGGCCGGCACAGAACCCTGCAGTTTAGGGCAAGGAGCTCGGCTCACCACATTTTAGTGGCTGCTCACGGACCTAAGAGAGTTCTGTAAACTTTTGTCTCCTGAGTGCGCCTCATCCCACTCCCATCCCCCATCCCCCATTCTTCCATCCACCATCTAGACCCTCCTGGTGCTGGCCAACCTCTGGAAGCTCCCTGGTTTATCCCTCCCTCCTGGCTCCTGGAGGGGGCCATGCTAGCGCTTTCCCTTGGCCTTCAGTCCAGGCCAGTCACTCTTTCCACCACTCCCACTGGAGACCAACCTGGCAAGACGGGCCACTCACCAGGATGGAGAGGATCACAGGCCCCCGAATGACCCACCAGATGGACGCATTGGCGTTGATGTCCCAGCACCTATGGGGGGACAGCCAGGCCTCGTTAGGAGTGGAGAACTGAGGGGACGAGGAAGGACTAAATCCCGAAAGCGCTCTTCGGATGAAGGGCCCATGCTGGTGGCCCCAAGCTCTGGGGCTGGGGGCCCAGCACTGTTAGAACGGACCCTCCCCTGCTGCCGGGGAGCACTTCTGAGGCCACTGGAGCAGCACCCCCATCTCCTGTGCACGCTCTGTGTGCACACCTGTTTGGCACCTGACCGCAGAAGATCCCAGAATCCCAAAGCGGACACAGTAACAAACTCAACTGCCAACAATGGCCAGGCAGGTGACATCAGTGAGTGAAGGGGCTGGGTGACTGATACGTGGCCTCAGGACCCTGGGACATCCTGCACAGGAGGGTTACCAGGCAAGCTAGAGAGCATGTGCCTGACCCAAGGCAGCCACAACTCGACTCCGGCTGATTTTTGCCATAAGGGAGACTGAGAGATGTTGGTAGAACTTCCTATGTTCTCCAGAGGAGCTAAAAATCCAGATTTTACACAACATCAAATTCACCCAATTAAAATAATTATTTTGAAATTATTATCTGGGGCCAAAGACAGACCACAGGACACTGGCACACCTCCTTGGACCTCATCCACATCCTGGGCTGGTCATGTCAGTTTGCTCATGAGAAACCACTTCTGCTCTGTCCCGCTGCTGCCTCACTTCCTCCCTGGCTTCTTTCCATGGGCCTACTTCCCAACAGGTGCCCTTCGGCTTACTTACCTCCATCCCTAGTGCCTGGCAGCTTTAGAGAACAAGACTAGATCTCTCTGTCCCCATTAGGAGTCCCTGGGAATGTGGCTGCCCCTCTCCTGTGCCCACCTCAGCTGGAGTCTCAAAGCCCGAGGTGGGGGGTGGGGAGGCGGTACAGGCAGGGAGGAGTACAGGAGGGAGATCCCAGGAGGAAAGAAAAGCTGGAAAGCTGGGCTGGCCCTGAGCTGCCTCCCTGAGTGGCACCTGCCTGGAGCATCACAGCTTCTGCCCAGCCCCTGCTCTTGCCACAGAGCTCAGGGCATGGGCAGGCCCAGGAGGGTGTAGGTGCAATGAAGGCCACCCCCCCCCCCCACCTATCTGCAAGCTCACACCAGCCCAGTATTCCAGAGTACTCGCCTGTGTCCCCCACAGTTTGAGAAACAGGCCTCTCCTAGATAGCTCCATCGTGCCTGAAGAACTGGACATTATAAAACACACTCCTGTTACCTCTCCTTCAAACGGCTTACCCGACATCTTCCAGAAAGTGTCTGCTGATAGCCCACGAAACAACAAAAATGGCCGGTGAACCTGTAGAGTAAAAATAAAGGGAGGGAGAGGGGAGTGGGGACTCAATTTTCAATAGCCCCCCACCATGGGAACGGGGGCAGTTTGCCTAGCCTAGAAGTGAGCAGGTACCATGGAAACCCCCTTGTAAATCTTGTGCAAACAGGTAGCCTCCTGCTTCTAGGGTACCCAGACTGCTCCAGGAACTGAGGCAGAATCAAATGGTTCTTGAATGCCACGAGGGTCTCAGGCTGTCCTGGGAGCCTGGAGCAGACTATGGGGAGAAACTCTGCAGGGAAGAGAAGGGAGAAGTGATGGTCTACCCCTGTGCTGTCCTGGGCAGTGGCCACTCACCCCACGTAGCTGGTTATGGAGTACTTGATATTTGTGGCTGGTCCCACTGGAGATGTGCTGTACATGCAAGACACCCAATTCTTGAAGACTTAGTAGGAATCAGAGAGTGTGAAATCTGCTAATTTTTATATTTAACTATATGGTGACAATATTTTTATACCGGGTTAAATAAAATAGATTATTGGGATTAATTTTACCTGCTTCTTTTTATTGTGTTTACTGTAGCTACTAGAAGATTTTAGGATATTATGTGGCTCATTCTGTTTCTAGAGGACATGATCATCCGCACCTGAATGGTAACCCCGTCCCAAGGTTGCTCAGGTTTCAGACCTCCAGCAGCCGGGTTTACAACCACGCAGAAGATTAAATGATTTTTCTCCGGCAGAATCCAACAGCCCCAGACAAAGGGCCTATAGATGGCAATGCTGGGGACCCCCCAACACAGTGGCCACTTCCAGCCCAGTCTCCCTTGAGAGACATGCCTTGTGCACACACACCCCCTCCACCCCCATACACGGGGACTTCGGTCCTCTCTGAAGTGACTCATTCTTAAACATGAACAGACAGTCAAGGTCACGGACATCTGAGGAAAGCTGATTACATCAAAGACAAGGACCAAAACAATCAGAGAGAAGGAACTCAAAGGAAACAGACCATGCAGGCTGCAGGAGGAACTCGGACAAAACAACTCTAAGGAATATCGTCTGAGAGATAAGAGGAAAGATTACATCTGCAAGACCCAAACAGGATGCTGAAAATAGGGAGCAGTCCGAGAACAAGGAAGAGAGCTTAGAAATGGAATATATGATAACCAAGATAAAAGACTCCATAGAAGGTTGGAAGATAAAGACGAGGCATCGCCCAGAAAGAAGGACACAAAGAGTGGGATGAAAAAGAGGAGAAAAGACAACGAAAAAAATCAGAGGTCAATTCCAGGATGCGCTCCATCTGATTAAAAGTTTCAGAAAGAGAAGATAAAAACCAAAGGGAAAGAAATCAAACAGGTGATACAAGAACAAGGTCCAAGAAATGAAGGATGTGAGTTTCCAGATGAAAGGACCGCCGGATGTTGGTAAAAAGGATGAAATCAGCTTGCATGGGGGCACCTCCCTAGGGCATTTCAAAACTCAGGGGACAGAGAGAAGATGCTGCAGCTTATGTAGAAGGAGATGAGTCAAAATGCTCAGGGAAGAAGAGTAACACTGCAGGGACACTTGGGTGGCGCAGTTGGTTAAGCGTCTGCTCTTGTCCTGATCCTGGAGTCTTGGGATTGAGTCCCACGTCGGGCTCCCTGCTCAGAGGGAAGCCTGCTTTTCCCTCTGCCCCTCCCCCTGTTTGTGCTCCCTCTCAAATAAATAAATAAAATATTTAAAAAAAGAAATAAAGGAATAGATTTATAGAGGGAAATGAAGGAAATTCTCAGCATGAAGGATAAGGAAATTTAGCAAGTCTAGAGAACAACCAACCCAAACATTGCAAGAAGTCAGAAGGCTCTAGAAAGACCATTGGTGGCTCTTTTGGATTGAAAAGCATCCTCCCTAAATTCGTATCTACTCAGAACCTCCTCTGGAAATAAGGTCTTAGCAGGTGTAATTAGTTAAGAAGAGGTTATACTTACAAGAAAGCCGGTCATATGCGGGCCTTTATACAATATGACTGGCACCCTCATGAGAAGGCTGTGAGAGACACAGCGCGAAAGGACACACAGAGAGGGAAAGAGGCCATGTCAAGGTGGAGGGAGAAATCACAAGGATGCGAGCACATGCCAAAACCCGCCAAGGACTGCCAGCAACGGCCAGAAGCTGGAAGAGACAGAGGCATGGAGCATTTCAGAAGGAATCAACCCTGCCAGAACCTTGATTTTGAACTTCTGGCCACCAGAACAGTGAAAAAAATTTCTATTGTTTTAAGCCTCGGAGTTTGTGGCAACTTGTCTATGGCAGCCCATAGGAAACAGAGCGGGAAGAAACCAAACAGATAGGAACTAATAGATTTCCTGTTGACGTGGGGTGATTTGGGACACAGCACTGGAGGGTTTTTCAGTTCCATGGGAGAGCTGGGGAGAATTAATGACAGCAACATAAAACAAATAAGTCAATTAAAAGCGACTCCATAAAAAACAAAAGATTAACTATTGAAAGTAAAATCGTTGTACACCATGTGGCTCAGCAATCAACTTTTTTTTTTTTTTTTTTTTAAGATTTTATTTATTCATTTGACAGAGAGAGAGAGAGAGGCTGAGCACAAGCAGCGTGAGTGGCAGGCAGAGGTGGAGGGAGGAGCAGTCTCCCCTCAGAGCAGAGGGCACATGTGGGACTCGATCCCAGGACCCTGACATCATGACCTGAGCCAAAGACAGCTGCTTAACCAACTGAGCCACCCAGGTGCCCCTCCTATTTAATTATTTAAACCAAGTATGTGCATGACTTTACATTATATATCTTTTCTTTTTTTTAAATCTCTGCCTCAATTTTGGGTGCTTTGGGCAAAGAACATGGGCTCTTAAGGGCCGCCTATGGTCTTTCATCTTTAACAGACTTGGTGGAAAGTGGGAAAACCAATAATGGCTGGAGTTGGGGTTTCTTAGTGTGGTCCCCAGACTATCAGTATCAGCATCACTTGGGGCCTTGTCAGACATGAAGAGTCTTTGGCTACACCCAAGGCCAACTGGCTCAGAGGCAGCTGGGCTCGACACACCCTCCATGTGACTCTGACGCTGGCTCCAGTTGGAGAGCCACCAACTCAGTGAGTGGGACCTTGGTTCATCCCCAGAAGAGCCAGAGGTGTCACCCTTTTCAGGGTGCACACTGACACCCCAACATCCTTGTAAAAGTAAAAAACCTTCAAAGTTGGGGCACCTGGGTGGTTCAGTTGTTAAGTGTCTGCCTTCGGCTTGGGTCATGATCCCAGGGTCCTGGGATCAAGTCCCTCATCGGGCTCCCTGCTCGGCAGGAAGTCTGGTTCTCCCTTTCCCATTCCCCCTGCTTGTGTTCCCTCTTTCACTGTGTCTCTCTCTGTCAAATAAACACATAAAATCTAAAAAACAAACAAACAAAACAAAAAACCAAAAAATACCTAAAAATAAACAAACAAATAAATATAAAGACTTTCAAAGTGTCCACTCCTTCTGATTCAGTGATCCCAATTCTAGGATTCCATATTACATATGGGAATAAGCTTTGTTCATAAAAGCATTTATCACTGTGTTATTTATAGTAGTGGAAAATTAAAAACAACCTAAATGTCAGTATAATAGGTATTTGTTTAAATACATCCACAGACTAGTTAAAAAATGTTTATGGCAGAGGTGGAAGAATACAGAGCACACTTGTGTGTTAATGGAAAGAAACAAGATTCAGAATTCTACATATAGAATGACCACAGCAGGGGTGCCTGGGTGGCTCAGTCAGTTAAGTGTCTGCCTTCGGCTGGGGTCATGATCCCAGGTCCCGGGGTCAAGTCCTGCCTTGGGCTGCTGCTCAGCAGAGAGCCTGTAGCTCCCCCTGCTTGTACATGTGCTCTCTGACAAATAAATAAATACAATCTTAAAAAAAAAAAAAAAAAAAGAATGACCACAACACTGTGGAGAAAAACTGAGTAGGAAAAATAGTTTGGAAGGAAACCCCCAAAAATGTTTGTTAGATGAGACCAGGGTAATTTTTTTCTACTTAATTTTTTTTTTTTCAGTCTTACAGTGAGCGTGTACTCATTTAAGCAACCTGTCTCTGGGGAAACAAGTTGCGTACAAACTGAGGAGGGGCCCCTGCTTTTGTAAGAGAAAGGCTTCTCCCAGACAGAAAACTCTGGGCCTTCCTGAGTCCCTTCAAGGTCTCCTTGGGGCTGTATAGGCGGACAGACCAGGAGGGGAGGAACCACTGTTTCATGTGCTATTCTGTCCCCAGGGCCTGGCATATAGTAGATGCTCAATAAACATTTGAGGAAGAAAGGAAGGCTCTCATGATCTCACTTAAACCCTTCCTAACAATCTGAGGGGTGCCTGGGTGGCTCAGTCAGTTAAGCATCTGCCTTTGGCTCAGGTCATGATCTCAGGGTCCTGGGATTGGCCTAGTGTGGGCTCCCTGCTCAGTGGAGAGCCTGCTTCTCCCTCTGCTCCTCCCCACCAGCTTGTGCTCTCTCTTCTCTCAAATGAATAAATAAAATCTTTTTAAAATAAAAAAATATAAAATAATAAAACAAGATAAGGTCTCCTAAAAATCTGTGTTGGAGATGTCACAATGCAATTTTGTCTCCCCACTAGACTATGACATCTTTGAATGATGGAACTATTTTTGTTTCTGTAATCTCTAGAAGCCCCTCCGAGCGCAAAGAAACACTCGAAGAAAGTAGAATAAATTGTGATCCTGATATTACAGATAAAGAAACTGCCTATGTTTATACGATGAGATCCTGACAGATCTGAGAGTCAAGGTCAATGGACAGGTTCCAAAGTGGGTATTTATTGGGGAGTCAACTGCATAAAGCAAGTCCCTGGTCCCCCAGTATTCTTGGAACTACTGTCCTCCGAAGAGCCCCACAGCTCCTGCTGGCCAAGGGTCATGTGCTAATTAGGCTGCCAAAGTCTATAGGAGGGCTCTGTGTGCTCTGGCAGCTCTGGCGACTTCCCTGATGTGAGTCGATAGGGCCCTTGCACGGAAGGATTTAGACAAGGAGAACAGACAGGGCTTTCCTGGCAGGGGCACTTCTTAATTAAAGGCACTAAGAAGAAAGCAAATGAAATTAATGGCTAGTACACATATCTATCCATGTAAGCGTATGAGTCAGTCAGAGGAATGTGGCTATTTTTTTAGAACCTAGTGGGTAACTTATATATGTTTATCAAATGAACAATGGATGGATGGATGGATGGACAGACAGATGGGTACACAGATGGATGGATGGATGGATACATGGATGGATGGATGGATGGACGGATGGACGGACAGGTACATGGATGGATAGATGGATGGATGGATGGATGGATGGACAGACGGACAGGTACATGGATGGATAGATGGATGGATGGATGTTTGTTAATGGCAGAATAAGAGTTAAGGGACCTTTGGAAACAGACAAGCCTTGGTTTGAATCCTAGGTCTGCTCTTGTCTATAGTGTGTACATATTACATCCCATCTTTGAGCACGTTTCTTTGAAAGGCCTCTGGAAATTGTGGTGGCAATTAAAAATGCATGTAAATGCTCTGCTCATAGTAAGTGCTCAAGAAATGGAGTTATCATCTTCATTGATCAGAAGGGACAGGGGGAAGAGATGGAATGGGGCCTGCAGTTGGCTACTTTTCCCCTCCTTCCTACAAATGAGCCCTGAAATTCCTTTGGGAGGCCATGTGGTCTGAGCACCTTAAGCCAATCAGTGTATTCCATTCTCTCGGGTCTCTGGTTCAGGGATGTGTCTGAGACAAGCTGGTCCTATCAAGAGTGAACCTCAGAGTATCTGCTGGGAATGCTGGGACATGGCCTTTTTCTCTCATTAGAAATACCAAGGAAGCTGGTACCCCAGAAGCTGCTGGCAATTACACTGGGAACACCAGCATAACGATAGAGTTGATGTTACAGAAGGTAAAGCGGAAAGGCACAAAGAAACATTGTTGAGCTGCTGGATCCAACCTCACCTGAATTTGGCAATCCCTGGACTTTTCAGATATATGACCCAGTTGCTTTCTTTTTTGTTTAAAGCTGATCTAAGCCAGATTTTCTGACAGCTACAGTCAAAAGTACCCTAATTAATAGAGAAAGGAAGCAAGAATGAAAATATATGAATGGAATGTCTGAGGAAGATGAAACAACAAACGTAGTATCAAATGGTAAGTTGGGTGGTGTCAAATGGTAAGAGACTTTGGATGGCCAAAATTGGGGCTACATTTTGACTGTGAATTCTTACTTGGTGTACAAATAAACCAAAGCCAGGGGGTTAAACAAGAAGCAACTTGCCTAAGATTCCACAAGTTAGCTAACTTAACTGAGCGTGGGGCTGCAACTAGAAACCAAGTCCTCTGGCTCAGTGCCTTTCCCCACATTCCCCAGCCATTACACCCACGGAGAAACGTACCCCATCCGAGGGCAACAAATCCCTGGAGGCACTTCCTTTCCGAGAAGAAGGAGATGACGAGGAGCGTGTGAAGGTAGAGGCCTTCCACCAGCAGCCAGGCGTAGTTGGCCATGATGCAGTACTGGAAGAAAGCCATGACCAGCTTGCAGCCCACCTGGACAGAGAGAGGCAGGTGAGCCCCAGGCTGGGCAACAGTGAGCTCCTCTCTGCCAGCCGCCCCCGCCTCCCGAACGAAGCGACAGGTAGGGGTAGGGGTCAGGTCGCAGAGCAAGTCTCTACGGGCTCCTGGCCATCCCCTGTGGCCTTCCACTCTCAGAAGCCCAGGCCCACAGAGTTCTCTAGAAAGTGGAAGCCCACACGGCAGCAGGCTCAGGCAAGAAGGCTAACGGGCCATCAGAGAAGCAGGAAGTGCATTCAAACCCGGGACTTGGCTGCCACCAGTGAAGCTGTGTCAGATAGAGCCCAGTTCCCAAGTTCCTCCTTTGCAGATGAGCACACGGGTGGACAGAAGGAAAGGGATTTCCGAGCAAAGGATTAACAAGATCCCTTCCAAGCTATTTCCCTGGAAACAGATGAAGGGACTTACCAATTATGTTAGGAGGGCACCATTGATTATAGTGAAAATGGTCCCTGATTGGTACACCGCCTCTGTTCTGGAGACTTCTGACTACCGGATGGAGATGCCAGTGCTGGCCTTGCCTGACTCAGTGACTTGTTAGAGGCATGTCTCTAGCAGGGATCACCAGAAGCTGTGCCTGGGGACTCGTGGGGCATGAGGCTTCTGTGCCAGCAATCATTCCTACATGACAAGGTCCCCTTTCCTTTCTCTGAGCTGTCCCTGGGGAGAGGACAGCTTCTGGGATGGGCTGACGGCTGCTACATGGGCTGCGTGGAGGTCACATGCAGGTAACCCAGAGCTGCCCTGCTGGTGGGCTGTGGTTCCTGCTCTACGGCCACCTACAGACTCGGATTCTGGGCGGAGCCTGTGGTTGACTCAGGAGTCTGATGTTTACCGGAACCCAAGAAGGTTCCCCGTGGGGGACTGCTGGACTTCTCCAGTACTGGTCAGTGAGGTGTGGGCCCTGAATTTACATCTTCTGACTCTCACTCTACTACTCTTACTTTGTCCTGCCAATCTCCCTAAGGGAGATTCAGTTTGAGTCAGAAAACACACACACGCACACACACACACACCTATAAACAACACAAACAACAGATCTATAAGGGATTACAGATGGGAGTGGTGGGAAGTGACAGGCAGGTTGACCAAACCCATCTCAATCTGCCATCTTTTTCTCCCTTGTTTGCCTCTGCTATGGTGACTATGATGCCAAAAAAACTCGACCCTCCAGCTTCCTTTAGAGTAAGGTGTGGTCCCATGACAAGGTTCTAGGCAATGAGATGTAGATAGGTGTCTTGGGGGCAGGTATTCTTTCCCACCCTAAAAAGGCAAAGCTACCCAAAGATAAAAACTGTTTAACCCTGACTCTCTGTCTTGACTGGAACAGGGATGTGAGGCCTGGGGCTGCAGCAGCCATATTGTAAAAAGCGGTATAAAGTATGGCATCAAGCACAGCAGAGCAGAAAGAGGGAAAAGGATTGTGTCCACCATGGCATCACGGAGCCACTGTGCCACCTCTGGATTGCTCATCTGTGGACTGCTTATGTGGGAGACAAACTCCATCTGAGCCACTGATGTATGGTTTTCTGGTATATGCAGCAAAACGGATCCTCAGCTGATACACAGAGCAATATTGCAAAGAACTAAGAGTCATCTGAGCATTCAGAAGGAGGAAAGGGGTTAGATTAAATTAAACGATTGCTTTACTACAGACTTATGTTTGCAGACACAGACATATATGCTCCCACTTTTCTTTCTGCACCACACCCTCAACCCTCTTCAGAGCTGGCCATCTGCCCATAGCTGGGACTTGGCAGGTGGAGGGAAAAGATGGCCCTCCATATGTATTTAATTGCCAGAGTGGCTGGGAGTTGAAGGGCAGCCCCCAGGGGCTTCCCGACAAGCTGTTCTCATACATGACCCCGACTGTGCACGTGGAGACATGGGACTCTCCCTGGATGCCCTGGCCCAGCCCCAGCACTGGTCCCTGTACTCTAGGCATTTAGTGAAGCCTCGGGTGGGACTTGGAGAAAGAGCAACGGGACCACCACCCTCTCCCGAGTTGGGCTGGGGAAGACATGCAGCCTGGCCACACTCTGGGGCACATAGGCATGTTACCCTGTGGGCATCACACTGAGCGACATCTTCCGAGGAGAAGAGCACTGCGTCCTTGATGAAGTTGGACAGGGCACGCAGGATGAAGGACACAAAAAGGTGCATGTGGATGTAGTTGCGGGTGCAGTGGAGCCTCCTGGAGGGAGAGAATGCAAGGCCATGGGGCCCAGAGCCACAGGCGCTTGGCCACTTCTTAGCCAGGTAACCTTGACCTCGAGCAAGCCTTTACACCTTCCCAGAACCCGAGTCTCCTCCTCTGTGGGAGGGATCAGAGGTCCATTACCCATTCCCCAGCTGCTGGTGCCAGAAGCAGGCTTTCTTACGGGGAACCTATTCCAGCTCTGGGATTGGGGTGACTCCATCCTCCCACCCTGTTGATAGACCCAACCAATCGGAGTACTCCACCCCTGGCTGCAGTGACATTCAGGTTGGGACTGTGACTCAAGCCAGGCGTATAGAAACCTCCCCACCCCTGCCCCAGGACTTTAACTGCAACTAAAGGGGAAGAGGCTCTCTTTGTCCTGGTGGCTGAGCCGGTGGAGTCTACCCCTATAGCTGCTGGTGGATGTCTCTGCCACCCCTGAGGAGAGTCTGCCTAAGGATGAGGCCGATGGAGAGTGGAGAGAGGGAGGGAGACAGACCTAGTTCTGCTGATACATTTGAGCACCTAGATCCAGCCATTCCTAGAGACAGACACCCCTGACCTTGTCGGTTATGTGGGTCAGGATACGTTGGTTTTCTTAAACTGTTTTAAGGGGATTTCTGTTTCTTGCAACCAGGAGTCTGGCTAACACACTGGTAAAATGGGGATAATGAGACCTATCTTATAGCATTGTGTGAAAATGACAACTAGGACATCTGCAGTGAATTCCTCGTTATGCTCAGTAACTGTGAATGAATAAAAACACGAACAAAGTCACAGGAACATCGGTGTTTTGTCTCGAGTAAAGTCTAGATCAAGAGGTCACTAAGTGCCCCCACCACCTTCCTTTCTCTGGCCTGAGTAATTTAAAGAGACCCAAATTCTGTGCCTGGGGAAGGCTGGGGAGACAGAGCTGGCAATGTGTTCTCACCGGAAAGCACAGAGGATGCTGAGGGCGACGAGGAGCATCACCAGGGAGGAGCTGTAACCCACGGTGTACATGACCTTCAACTTCATTAGATACTGGTGCTGCGAGAGAGGGGTGTGTTAGCCCCGCCCACCCAGCGGCTGGGCTTCTTGCGCCTGCTTAGGCAGCTCCAACTTTTCAATGAACCTTTCAATGCCGCCGGCTATGCTGATCAGACTCTTTGGACCTCAATTCATAGACTAGGAACACCCTGGCTTTGGAGAAGATCTCGGGGATCGTCTGATGCCAACTCAAATTTCTACCCCGTGCATAGCGCCCCTTACCATCACCCTGAATCCAAGCCTTCGCTTGAATCCCTCCAGGGATGTAGGCTAACTGCCTTTTGAAGAAGTCATCTGGTATACAAGGGTGCAAACTATCAGATAATTTTTCTCATGTGAAGCTAAAATCTATGACTTTTTTTTTTTTTTCATATCAGATGGGTAATGTGCCAAGGTCATAACAAGGTTTGAGGGTGGCACATGTCACACAGGAGTGTGAACACCCAATCATCATGCTTATGAACTACAAAAGGATCTAAAATCTATGACTTTTAAATTGGTTCTTTTTCAATACCCATTTCTGGAGCCGCTTGAAATAAATTGAATGCTTAGAGGGTTGTTTTTTTTTTTAAATAAACTTTCATTTTGGAATGGTTTCAGAGTTCTTGAAGGGTTGCAAATATCACACAGAGCGATCTGTCCTTTTTTTAAAGATATATATTTTTAAGGATTTTATTTATTTATTTGACAGAGAGAGATCACAAGTAGGCGGGGAGGGGGGGAGGGAAGTAGGCACCCTGCTGAGCAGAGAGCCCGATGTGGGGCTCCATCCCAGGATCCTGAGATCATGACTTGAGCCAAAGGTAGAGGCTTAACCCACTTAGCCACCCGGGCACCCCAGATCTGTATCTTCTTAATACAGCTTTTCTGCCCACTTGTCTCTCACATATAGTCTCAGCATTACATTTTCTTTCTATGTCTTCAATCTCTTTCCACGATCCCTCACCCTCCTGCTCAATTAATATGCTCTGTTGGCAATGGCCTTCCTAAATAAGACCCCCAGAACTGAAAGCTGGAAAGCTCCAGTATATTCTCTGATCAGGAAGGAGTCGAGTGGGACCATCGCCTTCCCTCTCCTCTACACTGAATTCATATTAATGAGTCTTCACATTACTGACTCATCTTTGATTTGGAAAGAATCTCAATGGTATGGGAGAGGACCACATATAAAGAGAAATGTAAAACCTGCAATGTAAAACCTGGGTGCAAAAAATAAATTGCACAACAGCCTGAAGAAGAATCAAAGAAATGAAAATTAAACCAATAATGCTATCCCATCTGTTCCCAACCAAATGAACAAATATTTAAAGGCAGTATTATTCTATGCAGCTGAGTGTAGAGCGGGAGCAAACATTGTTTCAGTCTCTCCTGAAAGTAGCATGTATCAGGGGCACCTGGGTTGCTCAGTGGGTTAAGCCTCCGCCTTGGGTTTAGGTCATGATCTCAGGGTCCTGGGATCAAGCCCTGCATGGGGCTCTCTGCTCAGCAGGGAGCCTGCTTCCCCCTCTCTCTCTCCCTGCCTCTCTGCCTACTTACCATCTCTCCTTCTGTCAAACAAATAAATTTAAAAAAATCTTTAAAAATAAAAAGTAGCATGTATCAAGAATCTTTGAAATATGCATTCCTGTTGACCTCCTTTCTATCTCTGGGAATTCTAAGACATTAGCATGTGCACACACACACACAAAGAAATAAGCACAAAAGGAAAAGCATATTTATACATCAAGATGTTCATCACAGAACGATGTGTGATGAAAAACACTTAAATGTCCAACAATAGAACAATTAACTGAATTATTTTAAATCATTATTTTGATGTATGCCACCATTAAAATGGTGTTTACCAAGAGTTTTAACAGATGTCAGCTTGTGCTAAGAATGTAATGTTAAGCGAAAAGGCAGAATACAAATTTTCTAGATACAGTGTGATTACTGCTATCTGTTTAAAAAAAAAAATTAGTTTAATTACGTGAAATTGCCTTTTTTTGTAGGTCAAATGATTGAATATCAGCTATTTTGTGTGGTTCAATCACATACACGCATAGACCACAAGATTTTAAAAAGATGTGTTAGATGTTAATAATAGTTAACTTTGGATGATAAGTCTGTGGAGAGAGTTGTTATTTTTATTTGTACTTCTTCTATACTTTTCATTTCTTTCCAGTGGATAAGTACTATTTTATAACCAGAAGAAAAAGGTAATTAATTAAAAAAAAGGGGGGGCACAAGAATAGTATTGGGGGAACCTTGCTGACAGCTGTTCCTATGAGAATGACTTGAGGTTCAAATGGCCCAAGCTCCATGGTATTAAGAAGTTTGCTGCAGGGAAAGAATGCAGGCTTCAGAGCCAAGAGACAGGGTTTCCAAACCCAGGACTGTTACTCACCAGCTGTGTGACCTTGGGCAAATTACTTAACTTCTCTGAGCCTCAGATTCCTCATCTGCAAAATGGGGGTAATATCTACCTTGCAGGCTTGTTGGAAGAACAAATAAAGTATGAGGTAGAGTATCTAGACAATGGCTGGCACTTACAAGACACTAAGAAGATGTTAATTTTTTCCCACCTCCATCCCCCAGCCCATCACCCACCCTTCAACATGAGTCACGGATCCAAGATCGCAGTAAGAAGTATGAGTTATAAAGGAGCAGCTTAAAAAAAAAAAAATTAGACCTATTCTCAGTTATGATAATGGAGTGCTGTAGGACAGCAGGCAACATGGGAACGTTTGGAGTGTTTCGTCCAGTTCTGGGTGTGCTATTTTAAGAGGCACAGGAATAAACTGGAACATTTCTGGAGGAGGGAAGAGTGCATGAAAAACTGGGTACATTACACCCCGAGGAAATAAACGAACAAACTTAGGCAAGAAAAGTATTAGAACAATTGACAGGTAGAGGCCTAAGACCCACTGTATGGGCTCCAAGGGGAGGCAGCTACCAAAAAGAAGTCTGACTCAGAGTGACCAAAGATTTTCTGAGAGCAAGAGGCAACCTTTGATGGGATGGCTGCCATGTGACACTGAGCTTCCCCACTGGTATGATGGCGATCCCAGAAGCCAGGATCCACCTCTCAGGAATGAAGAAGAGAGTCAAAAGGACAGTAGGTTGCCCTAGATTCATGGTGGCTTGACTTTGGGACATGAAAGGGCAGTCAAATGTTGAGAAATAAGAGGTTCCATGATGCGTCAGCTTATAATCTTGCACGAGCAGGAAGAGCCCCAGCCCCGAGGGCACGAGTCTCACTCCTAGGACCCCCTGGTTTTGCCACTCTCAGTTCAGAAGCAGATTTGGGCCAGTCTGTGACAGCACGAGGAGGCACGGGGTGACAGTATGGGGTGTTCTGGCTGAATGCTCCACATTGTCCTGTGGCTGGGTTGACTGCCTGCCAGGGAACCCTCAGGACACCAGCCAGCTGCACTTGTCCCTGCATTTTATGTGTAAGTTCTGATCCAGAAGGGGCCCTGGTCCCAGGAGGCCTGATGTGCCCTTAGTGCACCTGCCCTCCACATCTGCAACAGGGACTCGCCCTAGGAGGGCTTGGGGGCCAGGAGCCTCACTGCTGTCTGTCCTGGATCACATTGCCCATCTCTCTGCTGTCTTTCCTGACCGGGCCACCTTCCCTCTACATCCTCTAGATCAGGGCTCAGCAGACATTTTTTGTAAAGGGACAAATAATATGCGTCTTAGACTTTGGGTGCCATTTGGGCTTTTGCAAATATTCAGCTCCGCTCTTGTGGTGTAAATGGCCATAGCCATGTCTCAATAAAATTTTATTTACAAAAGCAGGTGGTGGGCTGGATTTGGCTCAAGGGCCACAGGATGCCAACCTCCACTCTAGGTAAGCAAGCCCCATTTTATTTACCCAAGCAGCAGCCTGGTCCTTTCTGCCAATCTGTGTGCACTGTTGTGGGCTTTTGTTGGTGAATAGAGCAGCGCATGCCAATAAGGAAATTGAAGAAAAGACAGCCAATAAGTGCTCATTTCCATCATCGTTTGATCAGAAGAGAAAAGACATTTCAACAGTAAGAGACAGGATGACTCAGATCTCTGAGTGAAGGACAAAGCTTGTGAACCAGCATCTAGGCACCAGTAAATTACATGGCTTGAAAATCTTTCTGATCTTAGGGATTTTTTTTTTTTTTTTTTTTTACTACATTTTTAAAATTTTTTATGTGAGCTGAAGCCAAGGTAGTCCTCCTTTCCACTATTTTTGGCCAATAACTATTCTGAATTAAGTCCAAACTTTGCATTTACATTTGTTAAATTTCAGGTTCTTGTTTTGGGATTTTACAGTTTCTGCCCTGGATGAATATCATGGTTAAGGCCTTGGGTTTTGTTCCCCAGCTGATGAGTCTAAAGCTGACAGTGTCTCCGATGTGGTTTCAGTAAACACTGCTCACAAAAACAAAGGCTCCCTGGGGTCCTCAATAATTCTTAAGAATGCAAAGGCTCCAATGGCCAAAAGGTTTGAGAACCACTGGCCGAGGCCAATCCTGTGTCCCATCCCTCTGCCAGGGATGGTCCAGGGGTGGGCAGGCTCAAGTCACTTTGGGCCAGTGAGATGGGAGGACAAGCTTGCTGGGGTTTGGGTGAAGAAGCTTTCTTGCTCTTGGGAAGGAGCCACAGGAAGTCAGCCTTTCCCGCCACCTGGACAAGCAGGCATGGGGGAGTATGTGGCTGTTATTGCCAACGGCAGTCATCCCACATCGAGAGGTGGCAGCCTTGAGAGGAAGCCACCAGGATAACAGGAGGAGAAGTGGCAAGAACCCGGTCCTTTGGCAGCTTCCGAGTGCTGCCTTATGAAAGAGTTCTGAAGCCTGTTCTCTGCACCCCCAGTTCCATGAGCCACATCTGTTTATTACCCAAGTTGCAAATTTCTGTTTCTCGCAGGCCAGAGCATCCTTTTGAACCTCTGTGCTGCCATCCATCATTAGAACATTCTCTCTATGGATTTTGCCAATGTGATCACATAAACTTCCTGTCCTTGTGTAAGTCAGTGATGGAAATGGTCATCTGCAGGGGTCAGGACCCATCCACTCCTCTGAAACCTTCTGTCTCCACTAAGCAATCCTTGCTGGGTCTCGTTATGAATGTACCCTGCTCTGACCAGACCTGAAGACCTCACATGTGTCCCCCATTTGGATGACAAACCCCAGGAGGGAAGAAACCCAAGTCTCCACCTTGGTTCCCCACCCAGTCTTCCTTGTACAGAGCAGGACTGACTGGCTGGAGAAAGTCCTAGAAAAGAATTCAGAAGTGGGTATGGTGTGGGCGCCTGGGTGGCTCAGTGGGTTAAAGCCTCTGCCTTCAGCTCAGGTCATGATCTCAGGGTCCTGGGATCGAGGCCCGCATCGGGCTCTCTGCTCAGCGGGGAGGCTGCTTCCCCCTCTCTCTCTGCCTGCCTCTCTGCCTACTTGTGATCTCTCTCTCTCTCTCTGTCAAATAAATAAATAAAATCTTTAAAAAAAAAAAAAAAGAAGTGGGTATGGTGTGTCTCCCAACCTCATCCTTCCTCCCTCCCTTCCCTCTGCTGCTCCGCCTCATGCTTCTCTCACATGCCCTCACCCCATCCTCCAAGGGACCAGCAAGGCTGTCAGGATTCCCACTGGGGAGTTTAGCCCATGGGGCTGCAAAAGCCCATCTCCCAGGGGACACGCACCATACCAGGGGGGGGCAGCGAGAGCTAAAGGAAGGACTCAGGTTCTTTGGGGTACTAACTAGGTTTGACTCCTGCCTCTGCTAGTCTCTGAGCGTGTTCCTTTATGGCTCTGAGCCTCAGTCTCCTCATCTGCAAAATGGAGAAAACAATGATCTTACGATGAATCCTTCTGAGGATTTAGTGTCATCATGTATCCAGGAACCGGCACATGGCAGGTGTTCAGACAACAACAGACATTCATCGGGCACTGGTTAAGTGCCAGGCATTGTGCTGGGGCATGGGGACCTGGAAATGAGCAAGATTCTGATCTGTTCCTGCGATATCTCTAAATCTAGACCCACGCCTGGCCCACAGTCGGCACTTAATGCATGTTTGTTGAGTGAGTTCATGGCTTTGAAGAGCTCACATTTTAGTGAGCGAGATGGATGCCCATGGCACATGACGACGATTTCGTTCAACGTAGCAGGTAACATTTTGGAAACGAACACAGCATATCGAGAGAGCCCTTCTTGGGGGTGGGGAGGTGGGAAGAAAGGGCTTTCTGGAGCCAGTGGGCTAGAGCAGAGTCTCGAAGGACACTTACGAATGAGGCAGGGAAAGTCAGGATGCAAGGCTCTGATACTAAGGAGGCACCTGGAGAAGCTCAGCGCACTGCTCAGTGTCCTCTCTCTAACCAGGCCTGCCCAGCAGCATGCAGCTCGATCCTTCCCCTCAGAGCCTGAGAAGCCCCGAGAGCCAACATTTATTGAGCACTTCTTCTGGCTGGGTACCCTTCTCAGCACTTTCCTGGATTACCTTGTTTGGTTCCCTTGGCAAGTCTGTGAGGTCAGAACCACGATCAGCCCATTTCACTGATGGAAAAACTGAGGCACAGAGAAGTTAAGTCCTCCCAACCCCCGCCAAGGTCACAGTCAGGGTACAGACTCAGCAGCCTGACTCCAGGCGTTTAATCAGCGGGTTGCTTTTCTTTCGGTTTCATGACTAAATCACCCCCAGTCTCGTGGTGGCACAGGGCAGTTCTTACTGTGCCTGTGCCCAGGTCTTCATTAACCATCTCTGGGCTGTCTCACCAGGGCACTGAGGTAGGCCCAGGGAGCCCCAGATGATGAGCGGGGTGGGGTGGGTAACAAGAGCAGCTCCCGGTCCCCTGATCTTGACCCAGGGCTGGCTCCATTCTATCTTCTTAGTTGCAGACAGGCTTACCCGCTTCTCATTGGATGAGTCGTTCACATTAACCCCACAGGCCAGGTCAGGCCTGGGGAAGATTTCAGACCAGCCGTCCTGTGTGCAATTTCGAAACATGGAACCTGTGGGAGTCAAGCATCCTGCAGGTGAGCACTGGGGACACGGGACAGACGGCCTGGGGTCCCAGGTACCCTCAGCCACGCCTTAGGGGTGGCCTGGCATTTCCCCATAGCTCAGCCCTGGCTGCCTTTCTCTGAACCACACAGTCCACTCCCAATCAGCTCAGCTGATCCTTGAAGACTATGTAAGGGTCAGTAAGAAGAGGCAGGAAAGGGATGCCTGGGTGGCTTGGTCGGTTAAGCCTCTGCCTTCAGCTTAGGTCATGATCTCAGGGTCCTGGGATCAAGCTCTGCATCAGGCTCCCCATCCAGCAGAGAGTCTGTTTCTCCCTTTCCTTTTGTGATCTCTCTTTTGCTTTCTCTCAAATAAATAAATAAAAATCTTAAAAAAAAAAATAAGAGTGGTGGAAGAGGAAAGTAGGGAGATAGCCCTAGAAAGTGCAAAGGTGCGGATGTGTGTGCACAGGTGAGAGAGAGACAGACCTGCGGACCACCGAGGCCTTGATTTACAAACCAGCCCAGCTCTGAACAAATACCCTGTTAGCCTCCAAGCACTACTTGCCCTCCCCCCGGGGTCCCATAGCCTCGCCCACCCCCATGTCCCTCCGTGCCAGACACAGGGCTCCGCATACAGGGGGGAGGGCAGGACATATGTCACAGTACCCTCCGGTCCCAACAGCTCTCCTCCATTGGACTCTGTGTCCCCGCCCCTGCAGAGCTTCCCCTTCCTTACCTTTCCCCAGCACAGCTGGCTGCCCCCAGGCCCAGCCCCCGTCCAGGGGTCTCTCAGGCCCTGGAGCACTACAGCTTTACCCTGGGCCTGTCCACTCCTCCCCTCTCCCCTCACCCACCCTTCCCGGGCTCCGATCTCAGATCAAGTTCCCTCAGTGCTCCAAGGGGGACTTCCCCTGCCCATCCTCCAACCCTACAGGCCGAGGGGCCACTTCTGGCTTTTTCTGGGTTTTCCCAAAACAGGGGCTGCTCCCTGATCTCTTGGGTGTTCACAGGAGATAAATATAAACCTTCCCGAGGGTAGGACACCAGTACTCTCAAAAGGGATTACAGTGTCCCATAAAACGCAAGGGGCCAAGCGTCGTGCTCAAGGACAGCAGTCCCAAGCGACTTTGGTTATACATCCCCAACCAAAAAAAAAAAAAAACCCACCGATCTCATTCTCTAAGGATTATGTACTTGTTCAATTATAAAATCTTGTGCTCTATTGTAATGATACGTGGTGATTATACTATGCGCCAGACACCGTTCTAAGCCTGTGGCAGGCAGGAACTCCTTTAACCCTAACAAGACTATGAACCAGGCAGTTACTTTTATAGTAAAACATAGTATGACATGTAAATAGTGCAGCCATCTTACTGTTGGGGAAACTGAGGCATGCCATGGTTAAATAATCTGCCTAAGACCACAGCACAGGAAATGGAGGAAGTGGGATTTGAACCTGGAGTCTCGGACCCCACTCTCAGCTGCATATTGTGTACTGATCCCCTTTCTTCCCCCTGCTTATCCCCATCCCAGGTCGCGCCACCCTTTACTGGGAGGGTTCTCCCAAGAAACTGACATGGTTGGCAAGGACCTGGTCATGCCCATCGGGAAATGTCCTCAGGCTCTGGGTGCTGCTCTCACACCAAGGAAGTTTGATTTCAAATCTCACTTCACACCCTGCTCTCCAGCACCTGAAAACCACCCACGGAGATGACTACCAGCACTGAGGTAGACCTTCCAGGGGCTGGAAAGGAAGGAAGGCATTCTCAGTCCTCCAGCCACACCTCCGAGCTTCTCTGCCTTGTAAATCACAGGGTCACTTTGGTCCTCCCACAGAGCTTGCTGCCCTTCTCCTCCCCCACGCCGCCAAGGCCAAGTCCCTCACACAGTGGTGGCTGGCTTCCCGGCCTCGCCTAGTCCCTGATGAGCTCCAGAGGGCTCCGGGTGCCCACCCAAAGCCCTTGCTCATCTGTCCACTAGCTGGAGGGCTGGAATTGCAACACAGTGGAGATGAGGAGCCCGTGCTAAATTCTTCTCTAAGGGAATAGGTAAGTTCTCCAGGGAGGAGCTTTTAGAGCAGGAGCCCGAAGACTGGGGAAGAGAAGCTGCCAGCCAAGAAGTCTTAGGAAGCCACCAGGAGGAGGCGCCCTCCATGGACTGATGGGTCCAGCTGCATCCTCTGCTCTGGGACCACCCCCCCACCCCTGCATCTGGCTGCTGCAGGCGTGGCAGGCACATAGGGGGCTGGTCACACCCCTGGAGATAGGAATTCTGACACTCCCTCTGCGCGAATTCATACCCTTTCTAGGGGTCTCAGCCACTCAGCTTTGGCCTTGCATGCTCCTTTCTGACAGGCCTCAGGTCTGGACCACTTGTTCACAGGGTTCAGGGTCACACGGGTTCCACTGAACTCAAGAATGATGGCTGGCATTTCTAGAACCAGCCACTATGCTCATTTCCAGATTTTGATCTAATCCTCCCAGCACTCAGGGAGGGAGGCACGGCTGGTTTATTTACCAGACAAGAAAACCAAGGCCCAGAATTGGGCACCAGAGTCCAGCCAGGATGTGACTCTTCCCTGTGCCTCCCTCCCACCTGACCCTGGCCCCTGGGGGCAGCTTCTAGCACCAGGAGACCTTGGCTTTCTGACCTTCTGGATTCGGGTCCACCTGGCCCCCAAAGGCCCCTGAGACCTGGAGTACAGGTTTCCAAGTAGCCAGATCTGAGTGGGAAACTCAGCACCCCCACCCTTGGTCACCTGGGTGTGAGCTTCGATGCCTCACTTCTCTGTGCCCAGTGACAATAGTTACCCACACTGCAGGACTGAGCAGGGAACCCGATAGCACCAGTAAGTGCCCAGCCTGGTGCCTGGCCCAGCGAGCCCCACAGTGTGACTCCCTCCTCCTTTCAGCCTTTCCAAAATAGACCTCGGTGGTGGGGCTTGGAGACATGGAATTTAAGGGGCGGGGTGCAAGACTTCTACAGTTCAGTCAAGGGAGCTAGCGTGTCAGACGGGAAAGCAGGGGCATCCAATTTCAGTTTGGTTGGATGGAAAATTGAATTAAGAGAACGCAAACTCCCCAGAGCCCAGAACCAGTTATTCGTGTGTCCCTAGAGGCTGGCCTGGGCTGGGCTGCCCATTTTGGGGCCTTCTCCTCACTGACCCAGTGGGATTCTCCAGACAGATGCTGCATGCGACCCAGGCCGGGCGCCCGGTGTGGCTAACGAAGGAGTGCCCTTTGCTGACCAGGCTCTTGGCAGAACTGCAGAGGAGACGAGGGTTGGGCTCTCTCTGGAGTCCCTTCAACCCCACCCACTTGCCCTGGGCTTCACTCCTAATAGGACAGGGGCCCTTCCTTACCCAGGTTCAGGGCAGTGTACACCTCAAGGTCCCCTGAAGGTACAATCAATATTTTGTGCATATACATCTGTACATCCGAAGATTTTACACAATTCTCAAAAGGCTCCAGGACCCTAATCAGGTTAGGGACCTCCACTGTGTTAAGGCTCCAATCCCAAGATAGAAGAAGGCCTGACCCTGCCTGGGAAGCGTGTTTTCTAACAAGGGACTCTGGAAGACCAGTGCCCTGTAAAGAAGCAAAGGAATGCATCCTGGAAGGAACATTCTAGACCTTGGCACACACAGAAAAATATCTGGGGGCAGATTCCAACCTGCAGTTTTGGGAGTCACTTAGACAGCCATTCTGTCTGGGCCCCGTAGTGGGCTCCCTGGGAAATCATTAATTTATTATTATCATTATTTTCTTCTCTCAAAAGGAAGGGTCGGTCCAAAACACCAGACTGTCCTCACAGGGCGCTCCTCCCTGGGTTGGGTTGGGGAGCCCTGGGGTCCTGTGGGACACCACTGAGGAGAGCCCTCCTTCCGGAGAGGAGACCAGGGATCTGGGATCTATGGGGAAGGAAGGTAGTGGTAGGAAGATGATTCTTGGTGACTGAGGCTGGACTGGTCCTGACCCGTGCTGCTGGGCTGGCTGGTGTCCTGGGCCGGGGGCTGGGTATGAATAGAGTGGCCCGGGAGGGGTCGGGGGGCGGGGACACTGCCCCTCAGTAAGTTCAGAACCCTCAGCAGGCCGGGTCTCCCTGTGGACTGGCAGACAGGAGGCTCCTGAAGCTCCACAGCGACACCGTGTGGCAGGGAGAAGAAACTGCAGCAGTGGCAGGCGGACCACCCCAACTTCCTTCCCTACAGCAGGAAAAAGTGGGACTGCACCCCTGGGTGAACACCGTGGGTCTGGAGCAGTTAAAAGGTTGGGGGTCCTCAAAAGGGAGTCAGTGGGCTACTAGTCAATGAGGCAGATACGCGTTCTAGCAGTTGATTGGGGAGGATTTGGCTAGGAGCAAGGCTCTGGCTGGCTCTTCTGAAGAAAGGTAGAAGGGACGTTGATGGGGGATGCAGAGGTACTTCGGCTTTGGGATGGCTGTGAAGGGAAGACTGGGAAAGGAGGAGAGCTTCAAGTCCCTCCAACTGGAGAACTCAGTCAGCAAGGGAGGAGCACTGGACAGGGAGTCCAGGATCTGGTCCTGTCCTCAAACCTGACCAACATGTTGCCTTGGGTCAGTCATGTGTGGATTAATCTCATGTGTTGGGAGCTCCATGGACCGCAGACATAGACATGGAAGGGTCACGGTGGGAGAAAAAGACTGTTGGTCAGTTTGCTGGCACCTGTGTGCAGGTGGGGAGGGGGAAGGCAAGAAGGGAGAAGAGAGGAAGAGAAAGGACGAAGGAAGATATTTAAAATTCATTTCCAGGGGCACCTGGGTGGCTCAGTGGGTTATAGCCTCTGCCTTCAGCTCAGGTCATGATCTCAGGGTCCTGGGATTGAGCCCCACATCGGGCTCTCTGCTCAGCAGAGAGCCTGCTTCCTCCCTCTCTCTCTGCCTGCCTCTCTGCCTACTTGTGATCTCTGTGTGTCAAATAAATAAATAAAATATTTTAAAAAAATAAAATAAAATAAAATTCATTTCCAAGCACAGCCCTATAGACTGGTCCTGTTTATGCTCCCCGTTTTACAGATGAGAAAATCAAGGCTGAGAATGGGTAACTTGGGCTCTCAGGCCTTGGAAACTGACACCTGGCCGGACCACACTTTCCCTCGTCCCTTGCAGGTTGGTGTCACCAGGACTGAGTTCTGGCAGAGGCCATGTGGGCAGAAGCACAGGCCTTCACAAGCCTCGTTCAGGCCTGGGGCTAATCAAGAGCAGCTGGTTTGCATGTTAGGTGGGCAGACACTGTACGTACGTATGAAGGCTTTGAGATTCGGGACCTTTGTCTGTTTCAGCAAGCGGGCATTATCCAAGCACTAAGTGGAGAATGGGGACTCAGACCTGGCTCCCTGGTGCATCTACGAGACTGAGTAGGACAGGGAGCTACCTCAGTGTGCTCCCCAGATTGAGTGTGTTTGTGCACATGCGTGTGCACATGAGTACTAGAGAATTATGGAGCGAGCAATTTACACTCCTCTCCCACATTGCATGGTCTTGATTTCCTCGCTGGTCACCCATCCTTTCCTTACCTGGCTTTGAGATGCTCGTGGGTTTTAGTGTGAAGACCTCTTTTCTGGTTTCATTAGCCAGCATTTCCTGCCCCACATAGATGGGGGGAGGGAGTGGCAGACTTTAGACTTTAAATGACCTCATGGAGGACGGGGCCAAAGGCCGTGAAATTACCTTGCCTCCACCCAGCATCACCCCCCACCACAAGGCTGTAGTCCCACCTTGACCATGGCATCGAGGACAGGGTACTGGTTTTGAAGTTGGACAAATCTGGGTTTAATCTTAGTTTCTCCATCTTCTAGCTGTGAAGCTTAGACAATGTGCTAAGGTTAACTCCTCTTAACTCCCTGTTACTGTCGCTCCTTCCTGGGTCAAGAGGAGGAGACAAGGTCTGTCGTTGGCAGGGGACTTGTGATGGTTCAGTGAGCCCGTGTATATAAAAACAACTGGCACATGGTGGGGTGTGAGCCCAAGTTAGTCTCCGAACGTCCCCTGTCTGAGACAGTCTCCCTTTCTCCCTGCCTCAAATTAAGAAAATCCTTGTAAACTACAGTTGTCCTCAGGCAAGATATCACCCGGGAGGCGAGGGGCTTTCAGAGAGGGCACAGTCTATCAGCTGGGCCTGGCAAAATGGGCACATAGAAAGGAAGTGTTCTGGAAAGCTAGGCTGTGCCACAGTGGCACCCAGACGTGGGGGCTGGAGCAAGGGGTCTGGTTGCTAAGGGGGCAGAAACATAGAAGGAAGTAGGGGAGCCCAAATGGGGATGTGGATTGAGAGAAGCAAGCCCAGTCTCTATCACTTCCTAGCACATTGCCTCCTGGCCCCCTTCCTTGGGACCCTTTGAATCAAGCCCACCCCACACCTCCAAGCCAGGCCTTCAGTCCTCAGGAAGGACCACCTCTCACCATTCCATTCACCGCTTGTCCCCAGAGATTCTTGGCCTCTAGGCCAAGGCCCCAGCCAGAGGGTCACCCACTGCCTCGCAGCCAAGACCCCCGGGCTGAGCGGTTACCATTTCTGCCGGTGAACATCCGGAGGAACTGGGGGCATCCCACTTCCACGATCTGTCCCAGTGCAGAGGACGGCCAGCAGCTCATGTTGTCCCACAGCCCCTTACAACCTGCCAAGAGGAGCAGCAGTGTTAGACAGGGAGCCAGCATGGGCAAAGGGCCTCCCTCTCAGCCTGTCACCATCCCCAGCACTCTAGCCTGCTAGCCTTTCCCATTAGGGACTGACTCTTTGAGATCAGGAACCAGTGGGGTCCAATGTGCCCTTTTATCTTTGGCATCTACACAGTAATCGCCCATGTTGAAGGCATGAAGGAAGGAGAGAACACACGTTATCTCGTATAAGCCTCACCACTCACCAGGGCAGCTCTAGATTTCTCTAGAACAGAAGACAGAACACCTCTTGCCCTCAGGTTGCATTAGACTCGACAGCAGGGCTCTGGCCTGGCCTCACAGGGTAACCATCTAGGGAGCTTTATTTTATTTTTTTTTTAAGATTTATTTATTTGACACACACACACACACACACACGCAGAGAATACAAGCAGGGGGCCCCAGAAGGGAGAGGGAGAAGCAGGCTCCCCCGCTGAGCAGAGAGCCCTACCTGAAGCTCGATCCCAGACCCTGGGATCATGATCCAAGCTGAAGGCATTTGCTTAACCGACTGAGCTGCCCAGGCATCAGAACACATAGAATTGGGCCCTGCATCCAGGGATCCAGATTTAACTGGTGTTGGGAGGGGGCTGGGCCGTTCCCCATACGCATTCCTTGGAAACAGGCTTTGGTCAGATCACTGACTTCTGGATTCCTTGTTGAGGTCCTGGCTTTCCAGTCCTCTGCCTGCCACCTCGGGTTTGGTGCTAGTGGGAGTCCGTCACCCTGTGCTCTCGCACATGTAAGCTCATCTAACCCACCGCAATGTTCCATGGCACCTGGCCCTGTCCTTGTTTTATGAATGAAGCGGTAACACAGAGAAGAGAAGCGTTTCCTGGAGTCACACAGCGGGGAAATGCAGGGGCTGGAAAGTGGCTGTCCAGCTACCCTGCTCTGTGCCACCTCCCAGGCTTCAGCCACCTGCCCCGTCTCTTAGGGCCACCAACCCCAGCTTCCAAGAGCCTTCCTCATGGAGCCAGGCTAGGGGAACTGGAGAGGAGCCAGGAGCTGGCGGGGATCCAGCGGGTGGGGTTGGCCCAGGAGGGCAAGAGGGAGGATGCAGAGAGAGGGGCTGAAGGCAGGCTGGGGCTCTCCTCTTGCAGGGAGCCTGCCCCCAGAGGGATGGGGGAGAGAGAGAGAGGAAGTGTGAGGTCAGGATGCGGGGCTCTGGAGGCAGCGCAGCCCCTGAGTGACAGACAGACTGTGGCCCCGGGGCTAGGTTGCTGGTATGGAATGGGAGAGAGCTTGCACACAGAGGCAGGGCTTGGACGGGGCTCCCCCAGGACAGTGGAAGCATCTTGGGACTGAGGACCAGGGTCTGTGTCCCTTGAGGAACATGGGAGATGAGCAGCCCCTAGGATGTCGCTGTACCTTCACCCCGACTCTCACAGTGAGCCCTGAAAGAGGAGGAGCTGGACCTCTCTGCCTGAGCGCGCCCCAGAGCACCCAGGCAGGGTTCTGCCACCATCCAGGCAACTGGTCGTCCACATTCCAGCAGTGGATGCTGCTCCCCAGACCTGAGCAGGGGCTGCCCGAGCTTGCAGGGTCTCCACGACTCTGGCCTCTCCAGATGCTCCTGGGATGGCAACACCAGCCTACTGTGACCCACTGTGTCTGTCTACTTGACTTATTCTAACCCCTTGAGCCTGGAGGATGAGGCTGTCTTTGCTCCTTCTGCAGAAGTCTCCATGTGACAGCAGGCTGCCTCATTTATAAGGAGCCACATGTCTTGTATCAGAAGCAGTTGGAAGGATTCAGAGGCCTCTTTCATCACTTTGGGAGCAATGAATTCAGGGTCGGCCCCACCAAGTCAGCCAGGGAATGGGGGTCCACGGCTCCTGCCTGTGAGGCTAGATAGCCCCCGTCCAGCTGGCCAGACAGATGGCAGGCTTCCTGACCTGGGTTATGTGAGGCTGGGCTCATAGGGACACTGCCTTGGTGCTGACAGAAGGTGGCCGAAGAGGGGCTGGTGGCAAGGGGGAGAAGGCTCTCCTCAAGGTGAGTGGGGTCCCCTGACAGCCGGTTCACTGTCACACCTTCTGTATCAACCCTGCAGAGAGAAAAGGCTGGAGGCGCATGGGACACTGTGGAGCCTGCAGGGGTGGGGTAAGGTCACTGCCCCATGGCAGAGGTGATGGAAATGAGGAATCCAGGCTCCAAGAGGTCAAGGGACATAGGCGCAGGGGGACAGAGCTGATACCGGTGGCGCTGGTATCACACCCTCCGGGCTGACCCTTGGTGGTAGCAGACCTGGTGCTTCTGCCTCCACGTGACATTGCTCATGTCCTGAACACAGTGGCATGCTGTGATAGGGGCGACGTTCTCTCCCAGCCTTGATGCTGGGAACGGACCTAGCGTTCCCAGTGTGAGAAGCCCATCCCCGGTGGCCTGCTCTTCTAGCTGGTACGTGGTTGAATGCTTTTCATTTTAATAGTTACACTTTTTTTTAAAAAAGATTTTATTTATTTATTTGACACAGAGATAGATGGTGAGAGAGGAAACACAAGCGGAGGGAGAGAGAGAGGGAGAAGCAGGCTTCCTGCTGAGCAAGGAGCCCGATGCAGGACTTGATCCCAGGACCCTGGGATCATGACCTGAGCCAAAGGCAGACGCTTAACCAACTGAGCCACCCAGGCACCCTGACAGTTGCACATTTGTTAAAAAAAAAAAACAAGAGAATTTAATATGTATTAAGCAGTTATAAGATGAGCATATCACATCTGTGATTTTATAGCTATTAGTATTATATATTATAATAATATTAATATTATAATATTATATATTATAATAACATTAATATTATAATATTATATATTATATATATATAATATTACATATATTATTATAAAAGGAGGCTAAGTTAAAAACTAGTCAGTTAAAGAAGTTGGTTAAGCTTCTGACTCCTGATTTTGGCTCCGGTCATGATCTCAGGGTCTGGAGATCAAGCCCGTGTTGGGCTCTGCACTCAGCCCGGAGTCAGTTTGAGATTCTCCCTCTGTCCCTACCCCCCGCTCATATTCTCTTTCTCTTTATTTGAAAAAAAAAATTAATTTTAAAAAAGTGGGGAAAGAACCCTTGTATGCTGTTGGGGGAATGCAAACAGGTGCAGCCGCCATGGAAAATAGCACAGAGGCTCCTCGAAAAATACATCAGAACTACAATGTGATCCAGCCATCCTGCTTCTAGGTATATACCCCAAGGAAATGAAATCAGGACCTCAAAGAGATCTCTGCACTCCCACGTCCACAGCAGCATCGTTTTCAGTCGCCAAGGTGTGCAAACAGCCTATGTGTCCATCGAACAATGATGGGTAAGGAGGATCCCAGTGCAATATTACTCAGCCTTAAAGAACGAAATCCTGCCCCTGTGACAACACGGATAAACGTGGAGGACACCGCTAAATGAGCCAAGCCAGACGCAAAAAGATAAATGCCGCGTGATCTCGCTCCCATGTGGGATGTGAAAGATTCAAGCTCATCAGAGCAGAAAGTAGAATGGTCACCGGGAGGCTGGGGTCGCGGGGAGACAGGAAGATGTTGGCCAGAGGGTACGAAGTTGCGGTTAGGAAAGATGAATAAGCCTAAGATGTAATGCACGACACGATGAAAAGCAAAGTCAACTGATTTAAAGAGAAAACATTCAGGCAGGCAGTACAGGTGGTGTACTGGGCTGGAGGGACCATGGCCAGGGCAGCCAGCTGGTACTGCGTGGTTCCTAGCTGCTTGCAAGGACCTGCTTTGCACTAGGGTGTGAGTGGAGGGTGTGAGTGGAGGGCCTCAGCTCCCACTTCCCACCAGGCTCCTGCTCTGAGTAGGGGGAAGGCCAGCACAGGTGGGGCAGGGATGGGAGGGGGGGAGGGCGTCCTGGCACTAGCCCTTCTGGGGCTCCTCTGGGGGCTCAGAACTTGGGTTGCTGTGTGCTCCTGGTGGGTTTAGATCTTGAGCCCCGGAGCTCGCTGCCTGAATTGGGGGTGAGGAGGTGTCCAATGAGATAAGGGATGGAGGAGCTTTGTAAATGGGGCTCCTGTTCACTGAGCCAGTAGGGAGGGGTCACTGCCTCCAGAAAGGCAGGGCTGGAATGCCTACAGATGAGCTGCTGTGTGGGCAAGCCAGGCTCAGAGCAGCGTGAGGGGCAGCTCTCCACCATCGCTGATGGACACTGTCTGGCTGGAGGGCAGGGATGGAAGAACAGGGATGTTCTGAGTGGAGAGACAAGACAATGTTGGCCCACAAATGCATCTGGGGGAGCAGGAGGTGCCTGCCAAGTGCCTGTAGCCACAGAGGACAGCACTGGAGCCTGAGCTGAAGCAGTGTCGTGGTGGAGATAGAGTGAGTTTTGGACACAAATCTCCCTTGAGCATGCCCCTTACCTCTATGGGCCTCAGTGTCCTCATCTGTAAAACGGGCATAGTAACATTCCCCCAGGATTTTGGTGTGGATTAAATGATTTGTGTGTGCAGGAGAATATTTTCTGATCTATTAATCTCCATTCCGCCCCCCCCCCCTTTTTTTGTCCTTCCTCCTCAGCCTGTTGGCTCACATTCTCAGAAGTGGGCAGAAAAACTTAGAATCTTCCTGGCTTGGGTTTCCAAAGGCTGTGGGGCGGGGGTGGTGAGTTGGTGGGGGTGGGGTGGGGACAAGAATTCTGGTGTAAACAAAATGCTTGGGAAGAAACATAAAAGGAGCAAGACTTCCCTTGGACTGGGAAGATAAGGAGGGCATGCAATGAGCAGAACCTATAAGGTTCCAGAGAAAGACTTGAGTACCCTGCTGCCCCACCAGCCCTGGATGGTGGGGTAGCCCAGAGGAGAAATGGCTGTAGGGACCTGTCTGGACCAGCAGGACCACGGACAGCCTCGCAGAGCCCACGCCTCCCAGAGGAGCCAAGTTGTGGGGAAGATCCAGAAAATACCAAGGCTTAGGTGATCTCCTGTCCTAGGAGAGTGGAGTCAGAATGAAAG